CTTTTGTGGCGATTTTTTTTTGCTATTTTGTAAAAGTTTGATTTATAGTTATAGGATTTCGTGAAGCACGGAGATGTTTTCAACTCCTTGCGCTTTTGACAGGAATTGCAGTCAGTTCGTATTGCTATATGCTGTAGTAGTCCGATCTGAACAATATCTTTGGGGATCGTAGCATTGTCCTGGACAATAATATATGCCAAGTTTCGTACAGATATCTTGTGAAATAAAAATTTTTTCTCTACAGGAACTTGATTTTGATTGGTCAGTTCGTATGGCAGCTATATGATATAGTGATGTGATATCAGCAAGTCCAGCAAATGAGCAGCTACTTGGGAAAAAAAGAACGCATGCGGAATAATAGGTCGATATCTTAAAAACTGAGGGACTAATTCGCTTATCTACAGACGGACAGCTAGAAGAACACAGCTAAATCGGTCCAGCTCGTCACTTTGATCATTTATATACATATGTATTGCAGGGTCTCCGGTGTTTACTTTTGTATACGCTGTTCAGGGTATAATAAAAATAATTTGCAAAATGTAGGGCCTTTTAGCGTACCACTGGAAGTAAAAAACTATGATAACTAATATGTACCAGAATGGCTTTTTCATAACAGAAAACATTTTGAGGTTTTTATAAAAGCTTTATGATTTGTTTGCTCGATATTGAGTTAGTTCGGAAGGCTTTGCGTTCATATTAGGTTGATTAAAGTGCCGAAACCCTTCCGTTAATGAGTCAACAGCTGAAAATCTTTTCTCACTTTGACCAAATCGCAGTTAGCCATTGTTTAGAGGGCTATAGCGCTGCCTCATAGTATCAATAGCAGCACTTCATTCGAAAATTTATCTGCCTCACTTGCGCCCTACAAATAATTTGCTTCTTCTCTTTTGGAATTTTCAAAGTTAAATCAACAGTAAATGAAGAAAAAGAAAAATTGCAATTTAAAAAGAGGAATCCACAAAAATGAAAACCATAGAAATAACTTAAAATAATGTGCCGCATTTTTCACAGTCCAGTTTCTCATATCAGCGAATTGCACTCATAAAAAACAAAAAAGCTAAAAAAACCGAAAATAAAAATACGCCGTCCTGCGCCTACGCTCACATATTTGCCGGATTCAGTTCAACAAATCACCAATTCACCAGTTCATATTTGCTTGTTTATTTGTTTTTGTTGCTACTCGTTTGTTTTCATTTGCCCCTTGGCATACTTTGAGGCGTTATGCAGCACATATATTACATTTGCACAGGCAATACGCCCCCGCAAGCGCAGTAAGTCGGAATTGTGTAGCACACAGCGCATTTTTCACATAATAACAGCACACGACGTTGGTGTTGACGTTAGAGACGGCTACAGCGACGTTGGCGACAGCAGCGGCTTTTGCTTCTGCTAATATTTGCTTTACAGGCAACCCCCTTATGCGTCGCAGCACATATGGCACCTGTCGCTGTGGCGCTTAAGGGCATCAGCCATAAGCTGCGCTTGCTTCTGTATGTACAGATATGTTGTATGTGTGTGTGTGTGTGAATCTAAGCAATTTACAGTTCGTACGTTAGACCGCCTTAAATTTCGCTTGCAGCTGTGGTGCCGCACAGGCAACGCCGAAAAAACCCGAAATTGAGTGAGTCTTTTCAAAGATTTTCACTTTCACACTGCTTTGACGTCACCCCAAGCCACCGCCATAGTCGCCTCCACCGCATATCAGCGCTCTGCAGTCACACATGTGGTTTGCTTTTATTAGCTGCTTGCGATTGCGCACACGAATGCATGACGTCGAACACATAGGCGCGGCTCTGTTGATGACAGTTTCAAAATTGCCAAAATATAAATTGAGTTCGCTGTTTGTGGAACAGTTCAAAGGATTCATATTTTTGTTATTAATAGCACGATTTCGCATGCAGTTGGGAAATTAAAAACGTTCGTTTATAATCGGTTTCGGTTTGAGTTTAAGGCGCTAACTGCATAGTAAACTAAGATGCAAATCGTTAGTTTAAGTTTAAATTTTTTCACCGAGGTGTGGACAGAATTTTTATAGTAGGTCCTTTCCGTTTTTGTCGTTCCCGATTTTGAAAGAGCGGATGGTTGTGCTTATCGTCATTCTGCATAATCATATGAATTTCGCTGGACCAAATTAGAGATGGCTTCGATTAGGCAGCTCATATCAATACTGTCGATAGTGACTTTGAAATCTACAAAAGCTATTGAGCTCTGAAACCGACTAACTCGGAATGGCCCCATTAAAGCTCCTCCACTCTTAGTCGTGATTCTGAGATCCAGACGTGTTAGTTATTGTTTCTCACTCAGAGCTGTTCTCATTACCCAGAAGGTTCCATGCGAACGCAGGAGTAGGAATTGAGTATGGTAGTTCAACTACCATGGCCCCATTTACAAATATTGATCACTAAACTAAATTTTGATTAATTGCACAATTTGAAACAAAAGCGTGTCAAACAAGATTGATCCATAAACATTTTGTACTCAGCACGCGTAACACAAAGAGCTAATCGTTCATGCTAAGAAAATTCGCCAAACGGCCAAACCACCATTTCTATTTATATTTATACGCAAACTAGAAGAGTTGCCAAGAATCATAAAAACACTACACAAAAGACAAACAAATCAGCGATGCGACAGTCAGACCGAAGGCCAAACGAACAGACCAACCCATCGGCAGACATTTGGACGCGCTGCAAAGGCGGCAGCAAAATCGAAAGGAGGCAAATAAATCTTAATAGCCCGACAAAGCGTGATAATTATGCGCGTATATGCAATTGATTTGTTTGGAAGGCCATTTTTCATACTTGAATACTTGAATACAAACATACATTTGTATATTTATACACTTTTAGGAAGCTCGCTGAACTAATGAAGGTTTAGAGTATGATTGTTAACCTAATTGACTCAGAAATGTTAACATTTATTTAATTTGAAAATTTAATTGAATTGAAGTAAGTCAAAATATATTATTCTTTTTGTTTATTGCAAGGAAATAACGAATATTTGATAATTGGGCTAAATTGAGTAAATTGTCATCTTAATTGCCTCATGCAATTGACTCAGAAATGTTAACATTTAGTTAATTTGGACATTTGGTTAACCTAGAAAATTTTAGTAAATTTATAGTCTTACATGTTTCAGCTATTTGACTATATCCATATTTTTTTTTTAAATGCAATCTTTTTGGAGAGTTTGAAAATATTAATTGTTTGAGTTAAATTGAGTTAATTAACGTTTTAATTGACTTAAAATATAATTATATATTATTTACAGAGTGTTCTGAAATACTAATTGCTTTAGCCAAATTGAGTGAATTAACATTTTAATCGCCTCAACTTATTGACTCAGAAAGAGTTAATTAAATTGAGACAAATAACATTTAACACAATATTCCAATTGGAAAAAAACTTTTAGACAGTTGTAATATACTGAATTGAGTCAATTAACTTTATTGCATCAGCTAATTCACCCGAAAACATTTACTATTGCTTAATTAGCTAATGCGAAGCAAATTACAGACTGTATACTACTTGTATTTTATTGCCTAATTTTACATTTATTCAAATTATACATATTATTCAAGTTCTAACAAATTATAGTGTACTAGCGTAGTCTGAGTTGCAAGCAACAGCTAATAATGTACACGACTACAGAAATCCAGAAATAACAAAAAATAAGGAAAATGTGTTCTTATACACCTTATGCCATGAACTTGGCCAACGACACATATTAAATTGTCAAATATTTTAAACTTTTTTCATTTGACATCTATTTTACGTTTATTTTTTTTCTTCTTAGTTTAGGGGCATATTTCGAATATATTTGCATATATTTTTATAAAGCATTACGTAGCGCATTTTAGGCATTAATAAATATTTTTGTATGTAAGTCTCTGCATAATGATATATATGAAAAATATATATGTATACGTTTTCCATATTTATTACATACATACGTATACATATATTCAAATGTGCCGTAGCATAGCATAAGAGCTGTCAAGTGCTTTACCAAAAGCCGGTCACAGCTTTCACTTTATATTTAGAAATTCATTTCGTTTTGGAAGGCATTCACAGTACGTATGTATATAGCATCTGTATATATGTACATATGTCAGCTTATACGCTGATCTCTCGCTGTGAATTATTTGATAATAATGACGTGATTTTTTGGCACTTGTTTTGGATTTTCTTGAGAACAAAAAAAAAAAAAAAAGAAGATATTGTATATAATAATGGGAATTTTTAAGTTAAAATGAAAAGCGCTTAGTATATATTTTTGACTCAAGCAATGCCTGATTGCTCCCTGAATTAAAGCAATTTTCGTTGATTTTTTTAAATCATCTTAAAATAAATTTCAGAGGACAACACAACTAATGAATATTAAGTTGGTTGTCACTAAAATTTGCAGTAACTTTTTTACAAAACTCTGAGTTCTCCGATTTTTGATATCTTTTTTTCGTTGAGTTATAAAATTCCTATGAGAAAACTTCTTCCGTTAATGTCTTTAAAACGGGTTTGCGAAAAACTCGAAATAGACCATTTTTGAAGGCTTTCAATTTTCAACAAAGCCTTTGAAACGAAATATTTTTTCAAGAAGTTGAAAGCGACATATGATTTTTTCCTGCTGATAATAAGAAGAAATATGGGAAATTGCGAGGCAAGGAACTTTCGATACAATTAAGAAATGATATTTGAAAAAACATCCTATAAGTATTTAAATGTAAGAACCTACTTTTAAGACTACCAAGTGAAAAAATTAGATTTTTTACATACCCTAATGTATATGTTTATAATTTAGTTGCCCAACATTTAATTAATTGTGGCATTTAAAGTAATTGCTCTATATTTCAAGGTTCCTGCAATTAAAATATTTACATATATTGCATCAAATTGTATAGCAATAAGTCTGCAGAAACAACTAAATCTGTTGCCCTTCAACAATCCCTGCAGTTGCTATAATTTTATATAATTAAGAGTAAATTAAAATATTTCGCTACATACCAGCAATTGTTGTTGTATTGCACTGCTGCTGGCCTCCACGAATTTCAACAGCTGCCGCCTTGAATTTACAGTTAGCAGTTACGTTGTATTGGCAGTTGACACGCGCTTGTATAATGCCAGCGTTGCAAGCTAATTTCGAAGCCAACACAGGCGCACATGCACACACTCACAGCTTGCGTTTGAGTCACCGCTGCTGAAGCTGCTGTTAAGGCTACACTGTGTGGTGCCGTGCTAGCGAGCGAGCTGCGCCAGCAAAGGGCTTAATGTCCTGCAGACGCAACACTGTTTACCTCCACTTCAGGCTCCTTTGCTTACTGCTGCATATTATTATAAAAAAAATTAATTGTTGTTGGTGTTACACTATTTATGCAGTTGTACTGCTAGTTGACTTAATTTGCCTGCAGCAATGTATACGCTACACGCACGCGTGACTACGGACGATAAGCCGCACACACACAAACACATGCACAAGCAATCACGCATGAGCGAGTGAGCGCCGTTACTGTTGTTATGTCCTTACGTTTAAAGGACACTCGACAACAACAGTCGCATTTAACATAAAGAAATAAACAAATTCAATGAGTTCAGTTGCGTTGCGTTGAGTTGAGTTGAAAAATGCGCTTTGACAGCTGGTCGTTTGTACGCTGCTTAAATATATATACACACTGACCACTCACATGGTATACGGTATAAAATGACACATGGCTTATATGCCGTTATATAAATACCTATTTACATGCGTATGTGTGCGTCTCATGTATCGTATTTATTTCCTATTTTATTGCTTTCCTTCTCGTCATAAAATGTCTGCTTGACGTGCTTGTTGGTCTCCAGCTTTTTCGGGTAATAACTATTTTATACTTTTCGTCGTTGTTTTGAAGGATATTCTTTAGCACTTGTTCACGCTTTTCAATGTCCAATGCTACATTGCTCACACACGGCTTTCTGCACAATTCATTTTTCACTTTCTTCTTCAATTTGCTTTTATGTTGTCGGTCGCTTCACTGACTCACTCGAACGCATACTTTAGTAGACATAGGGATTTATTTATGGCGTTTTCGCTGCACTATTTATATGAGGGTATTTATGCATTATTTATATTTAAAAATTAACATTTTTACTTAATATTATTATGTTTTTTTTCAAATTGCTGTAAAATAACTTGAGGTTATTGAAATCATAATTACTTCGTATTTTTTAAAACCGAAAGTGTATATAGTTTTCGTTGCTTGGTGAAGTTTTTGAGTTGGTTGGTTGTTGTTGCACTTCAAAAAAAAAGCTCGATTAACTTTTTGGTTATCATTATGTTGCATAACTCTTTGTGAAGATTATATAGGTAAAAATAATAACATAGAAAATATCTGTCAACAATAAAGTAAGATTGTTTACAATTTTATATCATTAGCATTAGTAAAATTTCAAGCTCCAAAAAAGGAGAAAGACTTTCCATAATATTCTCAAACTGTAAATTCAATTATTATTATTTTTTATTATATACATATATGCAATGGGTTCTAGCGGGATGGCTGTCAAATCAACTGTCAAAGTAAAATATGTTTTTGACATTTATGCCCTGTAAACTTTTAGCAAATGTCAATGCAAGCACTTGCATCGGAAGAACTTTAAAAAATAATAGACTTTTTCCAAAACTTGCCTTTTGTGTGATAAACTAACTCTGCTTTGACACATTTAGGTCACTATGGTCGCATTAATGACTATTTTCTTCAATTAATAAAAGCTTAAAAGTTTATAATTAATAAAGCTGGTATATTATTGCGCTTAGTTTTTGTGCATTATGTTTGCTATGCCACAAAAATCCTTTATAAACCAAATTCAATAGAAAATAATGTCATAAAACTACTTTATAATAAATTCAATAGAAACAAATACTTTAGTATAATTTTGTTACCAGCGCCACTTAGCAAGAGCTTAATCCTCAGCTTTCATAAGTTTTAGTTCTATCTGCCTTATATACTGGCTCAATAAATTTTCAATTAAGGAAACAATATCGTTTATAAGAATTCCATTCACATTATGCTTTGGCGGTGGGTTCATGAGTCAAAACTTATAGGTCGCACCTGGTATGACAGCATGCTGGCTCCTCTGCAAGCCTTACACAGGTGGTAAGCGTCCGAGAGATGAAAGATTGCTGAAACCAACGATCGATGAAGCAATCTCGTGTGTAGACGGCTTATCAGTCAAAGAAAACGGTTTCAGAGATGCTAAATCAAACCCGGGGGCAAGTGAGAATATTCTGAGGAATGTGGAAGAAGCGCACAGTGGATGCAACCAACTCATGATGATTTACTCGCCACTCTAGACGTACGATGCAGCTTCAACAGCGCAGGTTGGAGAAACATGGTTGAAACCTTGGAGAAGCATATCCCGACTATAATAGACATGAGGACAACCACAGAAGGTTGTCAAATTTGTGTGCAAATTAGGGCACGTTATTAGCTCCTTCAGGCCCTAATATTTGCATACAAATCGGTATTTTTTCGTTAATAACCAAAAAAAAAAAAGAAAATAACTCAAACAATTCAATTGTGGCTCGACTGCATAAAATTCAAAAAGCAATGCCAATGCAAAATCGAGACAAAAACAAAATTACAAAAGCAACCACAACAATAAAACAATTCGAGAGAGAGACGAGGAAGAAAAAAATTTCTAACAAATTTTCATAAAATAGGAAAGAAAAAGAAGAGAAATTAAATACAGCACGTTATAAAAAAAAATGTCCAAAAAATAAGGTGACATTGTATTTATTTTGAAAATTCTTTATTTATTCTTCCAAATCAATTTCATCCCCTTCCGTATATTTCACGAATACGCTAGCGGCAGTTGACTGCATAAACTGAGATACCAAAATACTCAAGCCAGAAATATTTGAGGGGCAAAGTGGTATATGCAGATATAGAAGTTTATTTGTATGTGATTCTATATACATATGTATATAACCTTAAAAACACAAGAAATTGCCAAAGCATGGCGTTCCTTCGCCATGTCGACACGCCGTGACGTTGTGCGCTGCCATTGACGCCTTGACAGACAACCACGGCACAAATGCCGTGCTAAACAAACACAAGCAAGACAAAGCAAACACAGCGAATAGGCAGCGAAGAAATTAGACAAAGTGATCATGAGGAAAAAGCCGAAAAATAGATTGATGAAAGACAACAACAAATCAGGAAACCCAGCCAAACACGCACCGCACCGAGAGTAGAAGCACATAATGCATTTGTTATTGTAGTCGCCAAAACGCCAAACCGAAATAATGCTRGGCGCGGCAGCTGGGGTGGTTTGCTGGCGGTTGATGACAAGAGCGCATGCAGGTGGCAGGCCACAAGCGCGCTGCTCTGCACGTGTGTGTTTGTGTGCGTGTGTGACCGTATATTTGTCGTTAATGTACATTTTTTTGTTTTTGTTTTAATTTCTTTGTTGACATGTGAACGCATTTTTGCTTTTAGCAGCAGACAACTGCGTAAAAAACATAACGGCGCTATGCTGAGCTTGAGCGTGTATATACAGCAGCTCGGTAATGTGCGTTCTCCTAGGCGCTGTGGAAAATGTTGTGCTTGTGTTTGTGTGTCTTTAAATATTTTTTATTTATTTTTCAACTTTCTTTTGTACAGGTTGTTGGCGCCCCGTTGCCGTCGCCTCAATTGCTCACAGCTGCGCGCTACAAGGCATTATCTCATCTCATCAGCTGTTGTGTCTTTATAGCTCTGCTAGCGGGTTGTTCCCGTACTCCCGGTTGAAAATTCAAAATTTGCTCATGCTCTTTTCTCTCTGCTATTTTCTCACTTTCCCCCTTTTGTTTTTATCCTATCGGCGATACCTAGCCGCGCGCAACTACTCATTTGTGAAATCGCAATTGTATTTTGCGTCTTTTGCTTCAATTGTTTTGCACATAATTCACTTAGAAACAATTTATACGAAAATTCTATTACCAGCCGTTGTTGTTTTTCGTTTTATTTTTTGGTACTTGCAAAAGTTATGTACGGAATTTTATATATAAATGTATTTTTTTTTTGTCGCCTAAGTTTTTTTGGAATAATTTGACACAAATTCTATCAGGCATACCTAGCCCGTTAAATTTACTATTTAGTAGCCATAACACCCTTCACAAATATAAAAGTTTCCATAGAGGAATTTGATTTCGATAAAACAGTTTGTATGGCAGCTATACGCCATATTATTCCGATCTGAACAATCTCTGCAGAGAATATGCCTTTCCTTTCAACAATAATCCGTGCCAAATTTTGTGAACATATCTTCTCAGATAAGAGAGTTTTCCATACAAAGAGTTGGTTCTGATCGGTCAGTTTGTATGACAGCTATACGCTATAGTGATCTGATAGCCATGGTTCCGACAAATTAGCAGCTTCTTGGGTTAAAAAGCAGCTGTTCAAAACTTCATCCACGAGAGATAGATATGGAGGTGAAATATAACAATTTATACCCGCTATATGGTCAATAAGCTTTATTGATTTCTACTGATTTTGCTAGATTACCGACTTGCAGAGGTAACAAAGTTGCAAGGAAGTTTCAAATATTTACACGAACAGACATACAGTTATAGGCACATAAACGATTACATGCCATCGTTTGACTAAGCCCATCATACCTGCAGCTATTTTTGTTACAACACTTAGTCATAGTTTGTTTGAGTAAACCGCAGAACTGTGGCATTTTATTGTTGTATCTCATATCTAGCTACTGGTGGTTACAAGTTCGTGTAACTGCAACTAAGCGCTAAAGGAAGAAAATTGTTTTATTGATCTAATTATGGTCACAGTTAAATTATGGCTTGTTAAACAAGTATTTATCTTGTGTCTTACAAATAAAATATTTCCTTCGTTAAATTTCTTTATTTCTTTGCTGTGTGTTGAGTACCCAATATTTCTTAGTAGGAGGTTTGGGAGACTCCTTAAGGCAACTGTACTACTAATAAAGCAATGCAAATCGTAAAAGTAATGAACATATCAAAAAAGGAAGAGCGCTTATGATCACTGTGATTGACCAACGTCATCAATTTAAGACCATTTTTCAAGAAAGGATATGTAGTACCATACATTCTCACGAAATATAATTTATTAGTATTTTTTTAATATAAATTAAAAGTGCAAGTTAAGCAAACAATTTTGAGCTATAATCTTTCGTAAACCTTTATAATATAAAATACGGTATCCCTAAGCAAAACAGTTTTTAAGTACAAACTTCATAAAAATTTCTTATACCTAATCAAAAAATTTGATCTAAAACCCTTAAAAAACGTTTATAATATTTTTTATCATTATAGCATTTAAAATTTTGTAAATAGTTGGTAACCTTCCCCTAATTTGAGACCCATATATTCACTTTTCTTACCAGTGCTAAGTAAAACTCTTTTTTAGAAATAAATTTTTAAAGTGTTGGCAATTCTCTCCTAAAAAAATTACGCTACCTTTTGGACCTCACTGCAGTTTGAAACAGCTGTATTCAACTATTTTGATATACTTTTTTTTAAGTATAATTCTTGTTTTTATTATTTTTTAATTTCTAAATTGTTGGCAACCCTCTACTTAAAAAATGTAAGCTTAGACTTCAGTTTAAGGCCCATATATTCATTTACATTACTATATTGTTTCAATAGTTAATTTAAATAAATTTAAAATTTTTTAGAAAAAGATTTTGAATTCTAAACCTTGGTCTACTTTTTTTTTTTTGTTTTGATGATAATTTCAGCAATCGCCTTTCTTATACAATTATTTAGTAAAATTTTCTGTACAATAAATTTTTAATAGGTGGCAACCTTTTCTAAAAATATTTCGTACTTTAAGTGTATTCCAAGGGTTTCAATTAATAATATTCGAATACCTTGTACATTATGACATAAATTTACTAAGCAAGGTGTCAGCCTGCTACCTTTAATAAAAAATTTTAAAGGTCCTTCAGTTATCCTGTTTCATTCAGAATTCAATAAGTTGATATTCAATTTATACACCACCATTATTTTGCATTTCAATAAGCAAGTGCTTTAAGCTCTTCCTTGGAATATTAGAATATTCATTGCGCACTGTAAAAATTCATATACCGTTATTGTGGCAGCCGTTGGTCGACAACTTGACTGGCGCCTGCTGTATTACATACAACAGCAATGCCAGCCAATATGCATGGCCAAAGAGCAGCGAGTCAATTGTTGTTAGCAACGCAGCAGTGTGGCGCACCGCTGGCTGGTACAAACACAGACAAACAACAAGCTAAATGAAAAGGATGACAGTGGGTGTACTTTTCCTAAGCAAGCGACCGCGTTTTCAACTCACAACATGTTAGTGTGTTGAGCTTGTGTTTGTGGTCGCTGCACCCTGCCGCCGCTGTTAACCATGGTCTTGGAGTTGTTTTAATTTCTCTTGTTGGTATTGTACGTACCCTTTGCCACACTCCGCTTTGGTTGTGTTGTTGAATATAATATTGTTGTTATCTTTTTATTTTATTTTTATATTTTTTCTATTTTTTCTGTTTTTTTTTTACTTTGAAAGCTAAACTTTCGTGGCGAACACATGCAATGTTCGCGTGTAATTCGTAAATTTTCGTAGTAATATAGGTCTTACAGTAACTTTACTCGAAAAAAAATTTAAATAACTATACCGACAATAGCAACAAACAGCATGGGACACCATGTATTAGTTGTGGCTTGCCATGAACTCGACGAACCGTCGCAGGCAACCGCAAAGTAACGCGTTACGACACACACACACACACATACATAAACAATACATACACAAAGTTGCTGCGGCTGCCACTGCGATTCAACAGTCAGTCAGACCGTCAGTCAGCGCGGTGCGACAAGCCAGCACACACTCGTGTTGCTCATTAGTAACTCATACGCCTAGTGGCTCCATGCGCTTGGCGTGCAGTGGCAACAAATGCGCGCGGTGTGGCGCTCATACTTGGGCTTAGATATATTTTTTACTTTTAATTTTTACGTTTACATTTCACCGCTACGTTGCTTAGTTGCGTTTTTGAACCTAATGCTTGGCACTCGGTGGGTACGTGGCGTTTTTTCCAGCCGTAGTGGCACTCAAATTAGAATTGGTGTCGATTTTCTGCCGAGATAATGATGGTGAAATTAGAATTTGTTGGTTTTCCAGTCAAGTGAAAACCATTAGCGGTGGCATCGGATAAAAATTTAATTGAAACTTCAGCTCGGAAGGATATTTTAGATATGGAATCAGTTAAAAATGCCAAATTGCACGTAAATTGATTTAAAATAACACTCATATTAATTACTATTATAAGATTTCGGTGCACAGCAGTTAACTTCAGCCTTAAGTGAAGTGTTCAAATGGTGTACAAAATGGCTAATTTTGCTCTATAATATGGTTAATATGGTTGTTAAGTTCATCCCGGCGTATGAGTAACATTCAATCAATTTAGTCAGCCCTTCTTTACTTTCTGAAACATTAAGCGTTAGTTTTACAAGATTTATTACGAAATGTAGACATAGTGTGCCAAAGAGAACTTGGGAAGTATAACAACAAATAAAATAATTTAATATAATAATTTAATATAAGGAAATAACTAGAAACAACATCATTTTGATCAGTTAGTTTAAGATATCTCCTCAAATCCGAAAGTTTTCTATACAAAGGCTTCAATTCGTTCGCACAGTTCGGATGGCAGCTATATGGTATAGTGATGCGATATGAGAAATTTTTTCAGATATCTCATCAAAAAAAAAAAAAAAAATTCTATATTAGAGCCTAATTTTTGCCCAACAAATGATCAGAACGTGTAATTTCTTAGATCGATATCACAAAAACTTAAAAACTAGTTCGCATAAATGCCGACTGTCTTGCCTATAAATAATATAATAAATTTTTATTCCTTTTTTTCACATCATGTCCACCTTTTCGCTGTTCTGCTTGTCTTTGGTTTTTTAACTCTAGATATTTAGTTGAGTTATTATTGTCTTTTACAACTTTTGTACTAAAAAAGAAAAGAGAATTGCACATGCGTTCCACCAAATCACTGCGCCTTAGTGCCCTTAGTAGTCAGTCACTGCCTCAAACCCACACACTTTTACACCCTTTATACTAGACAGACTCATTACAGTCGCGTATTTTGTCACACAATGAGAAATTTGATTTCAATTTTGATTTGTATTTCGTTTTTTAGTTCCAAATGCATATCATAAGTAAACATATGTGCACAGGCACACATTTACAGTGGCACATGCATGCACTTCACCTTGACACAATTTTTTCCGATTTGATTTTTTGTTGAAATTTCGCCATAGGTGCACATATAAAACCCAAAAACAATCTAAAAACACAAAAATAAAAATATAAAAAAAGTAAAAAACAAAACAAAAAAAAATACTCAAAAAACGCGCATTGTCACCACAGCGCACAGTGCGCTCTAAAAATAAGCGCATGTTTCTAATTTTCGGATTCTTGTTATTTTTGTAGACGAAATTTCGTGTCGCTGCAAATTTTATAGCTTCACTAATGCACTGCTAGGCACACATACGCACACATACGCACGCATGCTCATGTATGCACTTGTGTTCACATCTTTGTATTTGCTTAAGCTGCTCACATATATTATTGTTGTGTGTTGTTGCTTTTGATTTGGTTTTTTTGGCAACTTGACTCAAGTACCTTGCGGCGCTCTCACTGGCTGGGTATGCATTGCTGCAATTTGCACTTGTACACATTGTTTTGAAAGCCAACACGAATTTTTGTAACTTGTAGGTAATTTCAAGCGCAGGAAATGCGAAAGAGCGTGGCCGCGCGAAGCTCATTGCATTTCTTGTTTGATTGCTAATGTTATTTTTAGTTGTTTGGGCAAATGAATGAAGATGTTGCTCGTTTTTCTTCATTTTGGCTGAGATTTGTTGGTTTTTGTTGATTTTGCGTATTTTTTTGTTAAAGACAATTCCTGATTGATCGTTTTAATAGTTAATTATTTGATTAATTTTAGTAAATTTTGCCATATTCAATGCTACATTTGATTATTTTTTATTTCATAAAATATATTTTAAATAAACATTCTTTAGGAAGCCTGCGCTTGACGGGAATTTCGGAAGGCTCTCTGGCCTCACTATACTCCTGTGGGCAAAAATTAAAAGACTTTCTAATTTAACTGTGTCCAAATTATTTTTTTCTACGTTGGTATGACTGTTAGTGATATCTATATAATTCTTGGAGTGTCTTGTACAAAAAATATTAGCTCAACTAGGTATTATTTTCAGTTTTTTAATCCTTGAGTTCATGAAAATTTTGTTAATTTTTTTTTTCAAATGACTTATTTCCAACCAAATATTCGAGATATGTAAAGGATATTGAGATCATCAATCAAAAGGCAATACATAGACAATACATAGAAGAGGCAGTTCGCTGGTCTCCATCGTCTCCGATTAGTATGAGAATACCTAAATATTTCAAAAACAAAGGCTCGAATGTGTCACTGTAGAGAATTGTTTGCGAAAGTAATTTTCTTTTTAAAAAATATTCGATTAAAAAAATCGATTAGAAGAATGCTCCAAGACTCCACCGTAGGCTTAATATAAAGATATATATCTCGGCCAAGAAGAAGTTTAAATATTAAGGGTAAAAAACTCAGCACATTCCGGATTTTTATATTTTCGTGTAAAAGTTTAAAGTTTGGTTGGTTTGTATGACTAGAGAAGATCTGAAAATATTAATTAGAGCTAATATAAAGGGTGTTCCAAAACTAACACAAGCTTGGATGTAATACAGGCTGTCTTATCTGTTGATATTAATTGATATTTTTGCATAATTTTTTAAATTTTTTAAATTGTATTTCTTGGTTTCTTGTTTAAACCCCATATTTTATATTGATACACTTATTATATACGTTTTTTTTTTCTTCTTTTTTTATATAACATTTCATGCTTTTAATATTTTATGTCAGCCGAAAGCGTTTGATGCTAGCGCTGCGTACTTTAGTTTATTTAATAATTTGTTTATTATGTAAGCTTTAATAAAATAAAATAAAAAAAAATAAATAAATATTTTATGTTAAATTTTGTCTAGCAGAGCATTTTATGGGGACCCTTTTACATTTAAAATATTATATCTTATTAAATTGTAACTCGAAAGCGTAGCACTTCTTTCAGTTTGCAAAAACTAATTTGCTCAATTCATTACTAGATTGTTGAAATGGTTTTGTTATTACATATTTTTTATTCTATCAGCACTCTTGCTATTATTTTAATTTTTTTGGCCAACTTTTTTCTTAAATATTTGTTTTTTGTTCTTGTATTTTTTCGTTGTTGTTAATTTTGGTTTTTGTTCCTTGGTTTTTCTTTTTGTTGCTGTTATCTGTTTTGCCTTGTGCCTGGCCGCTTGCTTAGTAATCAACTTCGATTTTCGCATTTTACATAACCAGCCAGCGCCTGCACATCACTCCAATGCGCTGCGCCACTACTACAAGCCAATAAAAGTGGCTCACACCATAGCTTTGTTGTTTGCGTCTTGCGTTTTGTCGAGCTGACTCAATTCCCATGAATTGACATTGCTAAGTCGCGTAACGTTGCAAGGAAGCGGGTTGGATGTGGCTTTTCCAACATTTCTTCATGATAAACACTTTTTTTTTGTAAGTTATAGTTAGTTTTGAAAAACTTTTTAAATAGCACAACATGTGTTTTTTAGAAAACTATTTCTTTTGTAGTTTCAAGAAACGATTTTCGATACAAATCCCGAAATATTTCTAACTGAAATATTTTTTAAAATTTTTTTATTTTCATATTTCTGCAAAGAATTACTTTTTTTTATTTTCTCACTGCTTTACGGCATTTTTTCATGACAAAACACCAATGGTGTGGTGCCGCAGTTATTACAAAATCACCAAATTCAATGCTGCTTCACAACATATAGTATATAGTATTCAAATGATTGTGTAGCGCAGCAACAACTTCCAACCAACTTCACTTAAACACCATAATTATATTCACTTATTTTTCGGGGAAGCAATAATTTGCACTACAAAGGCATTCACCTATTTTTTATAAATTTATTTTTAATGAATATTTTCAGCTCTCGAGGCGTATCTACATAGTATAGGCGCCTGCTTTCTGCTTGTCTGCCTCAGAGCTATTCGTATATTTCACTTTGCTGACTTGGCCGCCGCCGTTGCTAACAAATTTATTTCACATACACACACTCACACGCGTTTTCGTGGCCAATATTTTTGTTTCAAATATAATATATATTATTTATTATTCAAATATATATATTAACTAACTATTTGACTATTTGGTGTTTTGTGACACGCGCTATTCACTGTGTACCGTTTCAGTCAGTGCTGTTAAATTGCAAACCTGTCTCGAACTGAACACTCAAATGACAGAATATTCTTTTTCATGCACTAAACACCGCCGTCGTCGCAGCCAAAACGAAGATGACGACAGTTTCGTCGATGACAGCGACGAGGCGCGACGACGATTCACCAACAAACATCAGTTGGCAAATTTGATTTCGTGCCTTCCATCTGCGCTGCGAGCTTTTTCGGAGTCCGAAAATTTGAAATTTTCAACCGTTAGTCGCACAGGGGGCGGCGAAAAGCTGCTGTGAAAAGTATGCGTCATCCGCAGTTGCTGTGTAGGCTGGCTTTGCTCGCGGTCGGACGTGTGGTATGTGGAACTTTTAATGCAACAAATGCGACAGGCCGACAGAAGCGCGAAAGCTAAGCAAATAAATGAGTGTAATTAAGAAAGTAAGAGAGAGAGAGAGAGAGAAATTTTTGCATTCAGAGTGTGTGCTGTTTGAACTGACTCGGCATATCCGCATGGCAAGCATGTTGCGCGAGCACAACAAACGGCCGATAAAGGTGGCGCAGGGCGAATGCGAAAGTAGAAATGTCAACAAATCGTTTTATTTTGGTTTTGTTTGTTATAGCAGACAAATGTCGCAGTTGAAGGTAATGCTTGAGAACGCCGGTGAAATTTGGTTGATAGTGGCGGCTATTTGTTGCGTCAGGTATTGGTTTATGAATGCTGATAGGCTAAAAGTTTCTGATTGAAAATCAAGGTGAATAATTATATAAATGTTAATATCAAATGTAAAAATGGAGACATGGAAAAATAATTAAAACAAAATTTTAAATAAAATAAAATGACAAAAATTTCATAACAAATGTTTATTGAAGCAAATATATGGAAGTAAAATAAAAATATGTATAAAAAATGCAAAAAACGTTTACTTCGGCTACACCGAGGATGTAATACCCTACACAGCTGCATTTTTTATTGTATAAAATGGCATAAAAAAGTATTTCTATTGATTTTGAGGGTAATCGATCAGTTCGTATGGTAGCTATATGCTATAGTCACGCGATCTGCACAACTTTTTGGTAGATTTCAACGTTGTTTTCGGCAATAATGCATGCCAAATTTCGTAAAGATATCTCGTAAAATGTAAAAGTTTTCCATACAAGTATCTCATTAAGATCGTTCAGTTTGTATGGAGGCTATATGCTATAGTGGTCGAATCTCCATAGTTCTCAGAACTGTGTAGGTTCTGGGTGAGAAAAGCACGTTTGTAAAATTTCAGATCAATATTGTGTATAATGTGAGCGACTATGTAGATAGACTATGCAGATAGGCGGTCAGAGGAACATGGTTAATCCTGTTAAGTGTGTAATAACATAACCTTTACATATAAATTCTGCCCTTAAATATATTCTTCTAGTTTTCGTCTCCTTTGTCCCACTGTAAATACTCGTTTAGTTAAAATACTCTGCACTCAGCAACTGTCAAAAAATTCATCTGAAAGCAAGTGTATCTTAGTTGTGTGCTACTTTTACCGATCAGCTGTCAGTCACCACCAGACAGCTGTCTGTCTGAAAAGTCAAAGAGAAAGTGCACAAGTTGTTTTGCCATAAGAACAGCTGAGAAGTGATGCCCTCTACAAGTATTTTCTATACTTCTCAATAATACTTGGTAAGTAACATATAATACACTCACTAATTGGCGACTAGAGACGAGACGGTAATGAATTGGTGCGTCCTAGTTATTTTAATACGTATGATAGTATAGAGTGTTCCCTTTCTTATTCTTAAAGATTAAGGGGGCCTTATTTGGGGCTGATAGCTAGTTCCAGATATAGATAGCTCTATAAAAAGACTCTTCCAAAATTTTAGTTAAATTAATCCAGTAGAACCGAGTAGATATATTCTTGAATAGTTCAAATTTGAATATATAAAATAAAATAACGTCGGTTTTTTGTTATTTCTAGACCATTAAAAAATTAGAACAAACACAATTTTAATTAAAACGCCATTTTTAATATTTGTAATTATTTTTATTTATAATTAGACTTCTCTTATCCACCTCAATTAATCATTACTCAATATCTTTTAATATGTATCAATATTAGTATTATTATTAATATTATTATTTGTGTCACATTTCGCAAAAAATATGAATATTTTGCAATTTCTTTAACCTAATAACAAATATGCCTTACGAAATATAATAGTAAGTAAGTACTTTACATACATACAAAATATCATTGGTAATTGTTGTAAGTAAATCAAATACGAACATAAGTGAAATACTTAGAAACCGGAGTGAGCTTAGAGAATACGCAAAATCAACATTAATTACACAGCACAATGCCATTACTTCAAACCATTATCACACCAATGCAATTTTGGCTGGTAATCGTTTGAGTAATGAATACCATAAATAAGCATTACCATTACCATAATTAGTATATTTTACAATGCAATTTTGGTTAGTAAACGTAAAAGTAATCAATACCGCAAGAAAGGATTTCCATAAATAATCATTACCATTACCATAATTAGATTTTTTTTAAATATTTCCATAACAAAGCCGTTAAATAATTTCTATTTGCTTTTTACAGTCTACAATTCTTCCTTAATCATTTGCGTTGCGTGTTGTAATTATATTTTATATTGTAACTAATTAATACTTTGTTTGATACGTCATTACATCGTTCAAGTATTATAAATAATACAGTACTTGTTTTGCACTTAAGTAATGTGCCTAATTACTACTTTCACTGGGGTTACTATATGCTGTTGTTAGGGGACAGTCAGCTGACTGCTTTCAATAAATATGCTACATTATTTTTTTTTCTCAAGGGCAGGAACAGCATTGAAGGGTGCATTAGTATATAAAGAGTTTGTTGCTTCTTTTTTTTTAAGATACCTACATAGTAAAACTAAAGTTGTAAAATATTAAGAAAGCAAAGAAATATTTATAATAGTGGGTGAGTCTGCTGAAAATGTGGCGTTTCAGACAGTTCTTAATTTAAGCGAGTGCAGAATAGGGATTTTGTCGGAAAGTTTACTGTCGAAGTTGAAAGCAGAAACGTGATTTGAAAATATCCAGTGCTGCTCTATTGCCTAGCTTATAGAGCACTTATGTTGAAACATCTCCACAATTATTTTCCGTCGAACTTGGAAAATTGAGACGGCTGAGCTCCAAAAATTTCAGACAAGCGCTTTGTTGATTTTTTTTGTCCTTCGATCAATACTTAGGAGTACCTGGAGTATTTCTCGAGTAAAGTGGCAAGTTTCAAAGTGCCATGAAATCTTAGCAATCAAATTCTATTTCCGCTTATATGATTTTAAACACTTTCAGTGCGTAGCTTTGCTATCATATAGGTATGAGTATAGGCTAAGCAACCAAACTGCCTTCTGCCTTCACACGTTTTCGAGCTGTACTGCACCGCACCATAGCAAAGCGTTTCAACTAGTTTGTAAATTTTTGTAGACCAGAAAGCGATAACAATTAGTACAATTTGAATTTATAAATATATGTATGTGTATGTATATATATAGTCATAATAATTATGAGTCTAGACTAGAGGCTTCGGATAAGCTATAACAATGCAATACTTGATTATGCTGATAATAATGATTGTGTATAATGATTGACAATGACAATGACATTAGCGTAGATGATGATGACGATGATAATGAGTAAATGGCAATGCTGAAATTTCGCTATTTGCTTTAATTAATTATTATTTTTTCTTGTTTTTTAATTGTATGCATGATTCTCGCTTGTATATGTATGAATGCATTTATGTATATGTCTATGCTTGAATGTGTATAATTAAATATATTATTTACGGTATGCTTTACAAATTTTATTAGTTGTACGATTGGTTTGCTATATAATATATGCATTAGATGTTTCATTTTTGGTATAAAGCATAAGATGTGGTTCGTTTGGGGGAGCGTTTAGAATGCGGTGAGAGTGTTAGTGGAATTTTGTCGCTTTAGTACAAGCTTTTGGTGGCAATTTTCGCAATAGCCAAATATTAGTAGAGGCATTTTCGTTTTAATTTGCTGCTTTGCATGCTCAAAGTATATACATATATTGTTTATTTATATTATATAATACATTTAATTTGAATTTTATTTTGTAGGCTTGTATGCAAATATGTGGTTATGTATAGTTGTTTACTGGCGTCGTTTACAAAATTACACGTATACCAAAATAAGTTGCCGAATCTGGGTATGAAGCATATTCACCAAATTTTACAATTTCTCAATAATAATTAGTATTTCTAAACATAGTAATGCATGTGTTTGTATGTTATATGAATTAAACTATGCTTAAGCGTTAATACTGTACAATTTAGCTGAATTTTTTTTTAAATTTTTTCAATATTTTACACTACAAAACATTCACTACAAATTTCGCGCTTTCATTCACAATACACATTTAGGCGCAGATTTGCAACTTTTTTTTTGCTAATTCTGTAAATATTTAATGGACCAATGCGTGTATATGTATTTAGTATATATGTATGTACATAAATTTTATAATGCAAATATTTGTATATATGAGTGAGTGTATTTTAACAATAGAATGCCAGCTGCACACATGTAAATAAATAATTTATACAATTTTTACTTCATTTTATGCATAACTGTTTGTTGTTTGCGTGTATACGTGAATATATTTGTATGCATTTTATATGTATGCAATTTTTTGTATGTATATGAACTCTGAGTGCATATGTGTATGAGTATGAATGATTTATGCAAATTAAATATTTACGAGTAAATATATGAGCTCTTTTGTGTTATACATATGTTGCTATGACTCGACTATGTTTATTATGTTTTTTGTATGTTTTAATGCTTTAATTGCTCGGTGAGTTTATTGTTATTGCGTTTTTAGCTTATCTTTGCGAAAAAATGTATAAGAAAATATGAAAAAATATATAAAAAATTTTATAAAAAATAATGCTTTATAAAGTTCTAAAACTGAGTATCACGCCAAGTATTATTTGTAGTGCAGTAAAAACGTGCTGCACACGAAAACAACAAGCTTCTGTGCAATGAATAATAATAATGTATAAAATAAATTGCTTAAACATTTTAAAAATACAACAAGGGGTTCCCAAGTGGCTATAGTCAGCTGCTCCAAAAAAGAAGTTTCATCAAAATTTGTTGCAAAGCAGTCATGTAATTTTGTTTTTCAGAAATTTTAGCATAGGCAAAAGTATCAGTAACTGTTATTGTACATTCTAATTTCGGTAAAAATTTTCGAACTTTCATTTATTCAATAACAATAATGGAGGCAATAAATTGCTGGAATTTTATACAAATCCAATCAAGGAATCTCGAGTTGCTAAAGTCAACTACACCAAAGAAGTAGTTTCTTAAATTTGTTGCAAAACAGAGATATAATTTTGTTTTGCAAAAATTTCGGCATATGCAAACCTTCTAGAAACCGTTAATGTACATTTAAATTTCGGAGAAAAGTTTCGAACTTTCATATAAACAATAACGTTAATGTAAACAATAAATTGTTTAAATTTCATACAAATCTAACGAGGGGTTTTCGAGTTACCATAGTCAGCTAATCCAAAAAAGAATCTTTGATAAACTTGTTTGCACCGCTGCATTATAAATTTACTACAGATATTTGTATAACAAACATTTCGAAAACTTTTACTCTACATTGTAAAAAATTTTGGGGAATATTAGCAAAAGTAAGAATAAATCGTAGAAAATACAGAATCGCTTGAAATTCTTTAAACTGTTAAAAGCAATGTTAAAAAGTCATAATTTAGAGATCTTTGCCATAGTTTTGACATATAAATACAAACATTAATTATTAAATAATTAAGGAAAAATCAACAGTTTTTGCGAAAATTTTCTTTACTATGCGATTATCTGATAATTGTTGCAATAATTTTATGGACACTGCTCAACATTTGCTGCATTATTTATTAACATTTGCTTCTTCTTCACATATATTGCCATAATCGCTCACCCAATAGTTTTTACATAATATTTTCTTTATTATTTTTCATAAATAACTGTTATGTAAGTAATTTTTTACTTCAGTACTGACTTTATCTTAGTTCTCGTACTTGCAATTGAAATATTTTTTTTGTAGTAATTATTTATGATTGTTTGTTTTAAATTTCATAATTTTCGCAAGACATTATCGATACGTTTACACTCGTCCTCAAAGAGTTTTGCTTGCTTGCACCTTACACTGTTGCATTTTGATCCATATTAGCTATTATTTTATTGCGTGTTTCTAATTAAATTTTATGTGTTTCAACTTTTGCTCTTTTGTGATATATCTATGCACTCTTTACGTGCTCTACTTGTAAAATTTTACATTTGTTTTGCTCACGCCTCTACTCCTTATATTTCGCTGGTTTGCCATTCTTAATTACAAGCGGAAATTCATTAGTATTGCAGTGTAAAAAAATATTTGCAATAGATAATTCTGATAATCAATTATTGTTTTTCTCTAATGCATTTGGACGGTTGTTTGTTTTTTTTTTTTTTTTTTTTTTTGATAATTTTGGGGGATTTTTTAGCAGCGCTGAGTCTAGACTTAAAAATATTCGAAAACATTTAAATTTATTGGATGTATGCATTACATTATATAAATAATTGTCAATATAGAAGTATATTTTTAAAGAGAAAATGGAAACCGAAGTTAGTTTTAAGCAACAGTTAAAGTTCTGGCTTTTAGTAGATCTCTTAACCGAACCGATAAACCATTCCCATGTACATATGTATATCATGACAAAGCCAATGTGAGACTCCGTTTCATCATTTTGTTGAGTGAAGATGTTAATGTGAGGAGACATTGGGGTTTTTGATTACTGGAAACATATTGATCCCATTTACACAAAAAATATACTTTTTTTCTTGCTCAAGCAACGTTTTTTCATCAAAGTGATGACGGATTATTTCCATAAATAAATTTATGGTTGTGTTGTTATCTGTAGGATAATCTAAGAGATCCCAGATCGATATCACACCATCAAAAAACCTCAATAGGAGCTTAGTTATTTTACGTTGAGAAAGCAGTTAATATGAATGAGAGACTCTCCCAATTAACCAAAGTAAAAGCCATTTTTAAAACCTATGAAACAAAAAATTCACAAAAAATCGCTAAAATATTTTTTAAATTAAATAATTAAAAGAAAATGAAATTAAGTCTATTTTACCAATTTTGTTAAATACTCAGCTGAATTAAGCGTTCTTTAATTAGGGAATCTACAATATGTACGAATCTGGAGACCAATTTCTTTAACAAAAAATAAAAAATAAACTCTAACGCATTAATATAGCTAACAGTTGCCATACAATTCATATTTTTATTTTTGGTATATTTATAGTACAATTTACAAATACATATATGCTTAGGCGGTATTTAAATTTATTTTGTAAAAAGCTAAACATTGTACCGCAACAGTTTGTCGTAATAATATACACACAATACAATATTTTAGTTGCACAAGTCCATACGGCAAACTCGGAATGAAAAACTTAGAACTAACGGAATTTTCTCACCACTAAAAGCTCTTCAGAGCTTTTGCAAATTTCTGCAAATTTTATTTCGGCTTGTAAAAGTTGTTGGAAATATTACCAATACAAAATTCGTATGCAAAAATTAGCACAAGGACGCAAATTAAAAATGAACTGTTAGTTGAGTAAGTGCTTATTTCAAAGTAATATAGGATTTATATTATATTTTGTCCAAAAAAAGCTTCACATTCTCACTTAAGTTTTCATCAAAAATAGTCTTATTATTCACTTGCCTGCATTTATTTTGAATAACTATGCGTTTTGTTTTTGGTGTTACTTAATTTATTTTCATCTCAATTTTTTGTTTATAGCACTATGTGTTGCTGTATTTAAGTACATACTTTCGTTTGTGAGTGTAACTACTTTGAAGTGTCCTTGCTGTAACTATTTCTACGTTTTAATCAAGTTTCTTGCTTCAACTAACTTCTACAAAATATCAATTTTTCTTTGCAATTCTTTGAACGTTTTTGCTTTTTCTTAGTTTGTCTTTTATCTTCTTCTTATTGCATATTAAGCTACATATTTTTACAACAGTTAATGATTTTCTTACGCAATTTGCTTTAAATTCTCTCCAAATACCTTATAGCGAAAATTTTTGGCGCGGCGGCAACAATGTTTGTTTGTATTACGTACGGTATAACAGAAACCATAAATTAATTAATTGAAGTACTGTGTTTGAGTAAAGCTTGAAAGTTACGAAACGCTTGAAAGGTGAATGCGCTTTGCCTTGAATTAGCTTAAAATTCAAAAAAAAAAAAGGACTGCTTTTATTTTAATATAAAATAAAGCTTTGAATAAGCTTTTGGTGAAGGCTTATTCCTTTTTTGCCATGGAGCTTTTGTTTATGCTTTTATTTTCGAGTCGAAAACTTTTTTATTGGAAAATCGAAGAAGCTTTTATTATCTATAATTAAAAAAAAATGATATTGCCTTTATTTTTATAGCGATAAAGCTTTGAAAAATATTTTGTTGAAAGTTTATTTTTTCTTACTTCGGCGCTTTTGTTTATAACTTTTTTTCGATTCATCCAAAACTTTTAAAAAGTTTACTATCTTTCTCTGGCGATGAAAAAAGCTTTTAATGAAGGCTTCGATCGAGCTTTTACTTATGCTCATTTTTCAAGTCATACAAACTTTTCAAAAGATTTACTATCTCCTTTACTCATTGTTAAAAAAACTATACATAATTTCAATTTAATTAGCTTGATTGAAAAGCTAATTGAAAGCTTTTTGTAATACCTGAAGTGAAGAGTAAAAGCTTTTTAAAAATCCTTAAAAGCGCAACGAACATTACTTAAAATTCTTCTATATGGTTGAAAATTATACAAAGTTGAAATTTTATTAAAACCTTTTGTACGTGAAAGCTTTTTATAACGTCTGAAGCTTTTGAAATTTTAATAACTCATCTTAACAAATACATTTGAATCATATACAAATGTGAGCTTAAAAGTTTTTAAGCATGCGTACATATAATTCTGAAAGCTCCAAAAGCTTTAAAGCACATAATAACTCAGTAGTTACATCTTCACCAGCAACATAATATCCTTTCAAGCACAGTCTTTTACAACAAAAATTTAATCAATACTTAGCAAATTCTTAGTACTTCTTACATAATTTTTTCACCTTATTTATTGTTTATTAATTTGTTTAATTTGCTATGTTACTATTGTTAAGTATAACTCGTAATTGTAAGACAGTAGTTCGATATATTTTTTGTGTATTTTCTTGTTTCTTCTTCTTGTATTATGTTATCTGTTAGTTTTTGAAAAAAATTACTTTTATATAAAAATGTAACTAAATCAGAGAAATAATTCTCATGCTATTGCACTCCCTGACATTGTTGTCGCCTGACGATCACTCTGCAATTCACGATTGCGTTCGTGCTGCTCGGTTTCGGAACTGTGATGAGAGTAGAAAATAGGTATTTACAAATCAAAATACATAATTTGATCGTTTAGGAGAGAGAAAAAGAGAGCCAATATACAATGTTTCATACATCTTATGTTCTCTCTTTCACTCCATCTCTCTTCTATGTAAATTCCTCTTTCTTACTTTGAGCGCACGGCTATTGGACTTGCGGGCACAATATCCGCCGGCGGTGCATTGTTATTATTTGTTGTCGATGCACGACGGCCATTGCCCGATTTGAAAACAAATATTGAGTCATTCTCAATTTCATTCTCAATCTGCTATAGAAATTATAGAAGTTTATTCAGTTTGTGGATATAAATCTTTGTTATTGTCTAATTGTAACTTACTTGACGTTTATAGGACAAACGTTCGCTTGAGACCGAACCACATGATGAGCTCTCCGAAACGGCTTGCGTAACGGTCGCCACTGTGGGTGGACTACTCGGTCCGGGGAAACGTTTGGAGCACACTTGCGATTGTATATGCTCACAGATGCGACGGAAGCGGCGTATATTGCCTAAAAAGAAGCAAGGGTTGGGTTTTCAGTTTTTGTCGTAATGTTCCACACATATTTAGTAAAGAGCAAGCTTCTATAATATGCGATGTGTTGTCATGATCTAATGTTCCCTACCTTGAGTTTGATTAATGAAATGAGACCTACCTGATAACAAAGTGAATGTCAGTGCAAACAGCATATCCGAGATATCTCCTTGTTTACAAATTGCGCTTATATCCACCTGAAAAAAGAAAAGCTTCTTGCTTAAAGTTATTCTAACCAATATAATAACGGGTAGTATACCTGAAACTTGACATGGCGCTGAAACATGACCGGTCCATTGCCATTGCGTTTGTATTCTACACGGAAGGATGTGGGTGAGACTACGCTATGCGAAAGCTCTGCCATCTGAAAGCGAAGAACAGCCATTAAAATTTTTAGAATAGACTAAAAAGCGCCACCAAACTAATAATTCCATAACACGAAGTCTAGAATACAACTCACCGACAGAAAGGCATGTATCAGATGTGCCTTCACAGTCGCTATTGGCTTGCCTTTAACTAAAATTGTAAACGTTTCGTCCTTCTCTGTGGTTATTAGATTACCAAACCACGAACGTTTTGTCAACTCGGGCGATGATTCGGGCGTCAAATGCACCTCGTCCGCAGAAACTGTTAAAAGACAGTTAATAATAATTAAGCCTTGCGTGCGTCTCTTAACTTACCTTGCAGCTTTCTTCGATGAAAGCGTGGGCTACCCAGAAAGCTATTTTTTATATTTGTAAGACGCGTCTTCCACAGTTGGCCGCCGGGCGCATTACATGGTGAACCGGGCATCACTGGTGAACTGTTGTTCATTAGCGGTGATGTTGTAGGATTCATAACTGCAAGTAGTTATTATTAAAAAATAAATATTTGACTAAAAATCATAGGCTTAGTATTGGTTGGAGACTTAGCTAATTCCGCTAGATTGGACTTAGTCCCTTTCCGAAAAAATTTCGCCACAGTTTCCTTTAAAAACTACTTTGTTTTTCAAACATTAATCTACTTACCGCTATTCGCTTCCGGATCGTGGAACATGCTAATCGCTATAGTTGGTCCCGAATTGGCACGATGATGCACGGTTGAGCCGCTACCACTACTGCTGCCACCACCGGGACTGCCGGGCACACCACCACAGCTCGCCTGCAGCGCCGCCTGGCGTTCACTGCGGGAGTCTCGACGTTCGCGCGCTTCGCGTGCTTCACGCACCGCAACAATATCACTACTGCCACCGCTGCCCCCACTACCAACACCACCCCTATCACCTCCACTGCCACCACCTATAATACCCTCCACGCCGCTTTGCGAAGAATGTGAGGGCGTACGACTTACAGACGGATGATGGTGTGCCGAGCCGGAACGCTCGCGGCATTCACTCGAATAGGTAGAGTGACGGGACGAGTGTCCGGCGGATGTGGCCGCTGGCGAGGATGGACGTGAGATGGCATTCACTTGTTGTTGCGCCGAATTGATGGGCGAATTGCAGCGTGTGGGACTGTGATATGACGAGGAACGCACCGAGGAAACCGTAGTGGGCGAGCGACGCTGGTGATTGCGCGAACTGCTGTAGGATCGGAAGCTGTGATTGATTCGGTTTTGTTCGAAACAATTTGCAATTGGGAACGAATGAAAGCGCAAGCAATGGTTCGAAATGAATTTTTGTTTTGTTTTGCATGGAATGTTGCGCAGCGCGTTTGTTCGTGTGTTTATTTTTGGAGGTTTTTGTGTGGACGTTAAGTTAAGCAGCGGCAATGCGTAACAGCGAACATGCAAGAAATATATTATTAAATGACGAAAGCATTTAGTTTCGAATGTACATATGTGTGGTTTGCATTTTAGTTTTTAGCTCTGTGGCAACGCGTGAAAACTTACTTGAAAGCTTGCCGTCTAGGCGTTAAAGGTGAACCTTCCGATATCTGTCCGTAGCTGGGCGAATTCGTGCCATTTATACGACAGGTATCGAGTCGTTTTCTGGGCGGATCCACTGCATCTAATTCACTACGTGATTTTTGAGCGATTTCATCATCATCCTCCAAGGCAGGACGCCTTCGTTTACGATCCAAGAGTAGAAAATATATAACTTTCTCTGTGTTGTGACTGAAAGGGAAAGTAGTTAAAAAAATTGGTGTATTATGATGTTAGGAAGAAATTGCGTAACTTGGAAACAACTTGGAAGTCCTGGCATCATATATGATATATTATAGCATCGATGAAACAATAGGTGGAGTCAATGATTGCCAAATGAACCCCGTGAGCGCCAGACCACAGGCAACCCTTTAGGACCATTATCTCCCGGATGGTAACCAAATTAAGGGTTATCCAGGGTTACTTGCCTACGGCATAACCTAACGCAGTGAAACTTAGTATTGGAGTTACGTATAGCCTTAATATCCACTGGCTATCTACTAGAACGTTTATGCACTTGCTGGTTAGAGCAGAGACCCACTTACAGCTTCTGTTATGCCTACAATTTCGGCCTCAAAGAGTGCATTTAAGTCATTTAGTTTGGAACTACCTTCTGCATATGGGGTATCATCTTCAGGTGTTCTCAGTGTATTCTGTCTATCTTAGTTTTTTATAATAATAAGAATAAATCTGACTTATTGGACAGAGATCGCGAGTACAACAGTTCTACTCCTTAAATTTCTAAAATTTTCTCCTTCCTCTTTACTTTAGTAAACTCATCGTTCCCAACCAACTCTTTATGCCAAACGCTTAAGTATGGCTCTTTATGTTCAACACCTATTCAATTTGAACATGTACTAGTTTTCAGATATCCGGAGTTTATATTTTTTCACAGAAGTGCCATCCATTCGAACCATTATTATTTATTATGTAAGTATTGAACAATCAGTTGTCCCACCCACTGGACCCACTAGTCTAAGGTTCACATTGTAATTGCATTTAATTAATGTGCTTGCTAAATGTGTTAGAACAACTCCGCCGAATGTCTACATATAAGCGAATACGCGCGACATGGTGCCATAATAAACCGATCCGTCTACAAAAAGTCCCGTTAATCACTGTTTACGACGAAGTCCAAGAGAGAAGTGTTGCAAGAAGTACATGAGGCACATACTTACATAACCTCACACATACGTTTGGAGTACTTACTTCGAACTCAATAGCTCTTGTATGAGTTTATCCTTTTCCTTGAAGCAACCCAGTGAGCAAATCGCATTTAAAACATCCGGATCCACCGCTGAGGCGGACGGTATGACATGCGTTTGCACCACCTCCATCATCGGCAGTTCCAATTCCAATTCACCTTTACCACCAGCCGTGACCCATGGATGGCGATTTATTTCCGACAACTGTGTGAGAGAAAGAGAGCGGCAGATTAGAGAGATGGAATTGTTGGTTGCAAGCCAAATCGAATTCGCATAAGAGTGGTGTAATTTTTGTTTTTTACAAGTGCGAAGAAAGTAAAGAAGTGGGCATGTGAAAGGTGTCATTTAGGCATGTAAATGCAAATAACTGTAAATCAAATGCACGAACTGTTAGACAAACGAGCGCGTCTGGGAATTGACTGGTGACACAAGCAAACAAAAGCTGCCACCATTTTCGGTGTGTGTATGCAAATATGCGCTGTGCCACATATGTACATACATGCCAGTCGGACGGAAAATTGCGAGCCCAACAAGACAGCAACAATAACACAAACACATAGGGCTACATGTCACTTGAGTAGCAGCCGTAATGCAATCAGTGCTGTTGCCGTCAACAATTGGCGCTTTTATGACTGACTGCCTGCCGATTTACTGTTGGTTGTTAGTGTGTTCGCGTGGCTGGGGCTGCTACGGAATGATGTGTGAACCACCCTTGGCTTTACGCATAACTTTAGACAGCCAAACGCCATTACAGGCATATGTCTGTCCGTATGTACATATATATGAAAATGTGTACATGTATGTATATGGTGTATAGTGTGTATGTGCAGTTGATGACTCACCGTCAGTCGTCGATCCGGATTCACCTCAATCATGCCGCGCAATAAACTCTGACAGTCGGGCGGCACAAAGTGCGGTATGTGAAACACGCCACGCTTCACTTTCTCCAGCAGCTGGCGTAGGTTGTCGTCATCGAAGGGCAATGCGCCCACCAATAGCGCATACAGGATAACGCCGCAGGACCAAACATCCGCTCTGCGTCCATCGTATTTTTCACCCTACAAAAGAAATCCGTAATGCAATAAAAACTGTGTGGCAGTGAAATGAAAAGAATATAAAAGCAGCTACGAAGATTTGCTGTAAACTCATCACTATTATATTTCTGTCATTGCTGGCTGGTAATATGTCACAGTAAAAAGGAAATATGCGAATGTGTTGCATTGTGTATTAGGACGGTGCATTTTTCAAATGCCAAAAATATGAAAACAGCAGAAGCTTAAATTCTTAAGACGACATAAAATTCCTTCACAAAAAATTTAACACGACAATGTTTCCAAAAATATTTTGCCAATTTCGATATTTTTCGAAAATTCGAAAAAATGTTTTTCTTTGAAAGTAGAACATAGCGAATAAACTTTTTCGGATAAATATTGTTCGAAAATTCGAAAATAGCGTATCTTAACTCTAAAAGTGTGACCTAGAAAAGTCAAAATTTCTTCGAAAAAGTATTGTGCAAGTTTCGAAATTTTCCAATATTCGAAAAGGCGTTTCTTAACAAACAATACGAAACTATTTAAAAAAATTTTGTGCACATTTCAAAAATTCGAAACTCTTTTCTGTAGAATGGACGATGACGATAAGATGAAACTTAAAAACATATTGGGCGAATTAACTTTTACAATTAAGAATAATGACAATACGAAATTTGTACGAAAAAAATTGGCGAATTCGCAATATTCGAAAATAGTTTATCTATACTTTAGAACATTTTGAAATTCGAAACGTCTCTTGACTGTTGAAACGGGGAATAAACAAGATGAAACTAAAAACAATTACTGTGCGAATTTCGAAAATTTTCGAAAATTCAAAAATATGGTCTCTAAACTCTAGAAGTAGAGTATAATGCCAGACGCGCACTTCCAAACCTATTCTTAGTTTCTATAGTTACGAACATGGTTATTCGTAGAGAAATTTCTCACCGCGAAAAGACCCATACTAATGCTACACACTGCTTGGTTTAACTTTGAATTTCGCATCGTACAATAAAATACATACTTTTCTTTGCTAAATATTATTGTGTATTGAAATGGAATTTAGCGAAGTTTATTTTGTTGTGCTTACGTCAGCGTTGGTCTATCTTTGGAGCCAAAGGAGGTTGAACTAATGAAGATGTTTCCGCTGCCGAAATGCAGCACTTTCACCAAATTTGGGGGTTGTTAAGGCGCATAACAATGCATAAATATATTTCTCTGCGTAGGGTGAGGGGTGCATTAAGCAAAGACAATTTTGGGGTGCAGTGCACATCTTCATTTACTGCTTTCACTAACGAATTTGGTTAGCTTTAAAATACTCGTCAAAGAATCCTACAAGTTGCTAAAAGCTTAATGGTCTGAGGTATTCGTGCCAACCCCCTTTTATGTGTGACTCATATTTCAAAGCCCATAAAATGTACACAGTTACATATGTATATGAGACACATTAACACTGACGTTAATTGTTTGTGCTACAAAGGCGAGCAGTATGTGATGTTTGATTCTTTAAAGAGATTTCGGTGAAAATTTTATTAATATTCAATCCCCCAGTCTCCACCAAAAGACAACTACTCCTACTGGATTTTATAAACTTCAACATTCTCGATATTTTTATAGTTGTGTATCGCCCAGCTTTTGTGTGTATATCTCATGCAATAATTTATAGTTTCGAACCCATTTGCCAAGAGAGTGGAGGTCATTATTTTTCAGTGTCATTCCTTTTATTTCCATTAAAATTTTAGTTTATGTTGATCCAAAAATTTAGCACAATAACAAAAATTACTTTGAAAGAAAGACTGCTTTAACTGACTGATACCTTCTGCTGGATCAATTGTAATATGTTCCACAGGAATTTATGAGTTTCTGACATTTTATTGAGCTGATGTATTGCACACTCCAAAAAAGACAAGAGATTCATATTTTGATTTTCCATGAACTAAAATTTCATCAGCGCTCCACTAACATCATTTTTGAATATCTCAAGAGGTTTTGAACTTTGAGAAGTTCTCAAGCGTTCAATAGGAAATATTTGTAGCTTAGTATATTCAAAAAATTGTATATTTTGATGACCATAAACAGCTTAGTATGAACTCTACACTGAATATGTAACAGACATTGCTGCCGAGTTTCCGTTACTATTATCTATTACTACAAGTATTACCCGATTAGCTCAGTTTTTCTGTTAGCATCGGTTAAGTTATGCAGCCATTACTACTTTATTCTTTACTTAATACTTTATTACCAAAGTTTATATCAATGTCACATAAATTGCATCAATCCTTTCATATTTTTCCCAAAACAGCAATTCTTCCAATTTCGTTGTCACTCAAATGTACTTCAAATATTTCAAATATTTTGAACAGCAAAAAATGTATGTCCTTCATTCCAATCTCCATGCTAAACACTAAAGTTACGATATTGCCTTGACATTACATGGATGTACAGACGCGTACGTCTCCACTATGTTTGAAGACAGACTCCCATTCCTCTTTTTTAATGCGTGTATGGCGAATGTTTTCTCAATTTGAATAAAAAAAATCCACGCATGTCCTTCAGCGTGCCTTAAATGTCCTTGAATACACATAAAATAACATGAAAAAGCGAAGAGCAGTGAGTCCATAGTGCAACAGCAACAAGGTTCGACGGCAAGAATGCTTAAGGTTATGGTAGTTTTAAATTTTTATTGCGTACAAAAATTAAAAATGGAAGAGAGTGCTTTCGGTTGAGATTCTTGCCCGCTTGATCAGTGGTAGACATATTTGTAGGGAAGCGGAATTTCATATAATTTTTAAAGCCGGAGTGCGGAACTTGAATCCGCTAAACTTAACCTCCTCCGTTCTCCATACTCTTCCATGAAACCATGATTGAGTATTACTTCGTGGGACATAATGAAGTAAAGGCTTAAGTTCTTTAAAGTTAGTTCCACATAATGAGGCATAATCCACGATAGCTTAATAAAACTTGTTTTGAACCATGACCCAGCGGCTTGCCTGCACCGCATTCAATAATAATTCATATCACTTAACCCAAATCTCGACTTGCAAGCCATTTTTAATAACATTTTATTTAGTATATCTAATATTGTTCTCTCATATGCTCACGAGTGTATTCTTAACCGGGTTTTTCATTATTATTTCGACATTTGCATTATCATCTCTCCTGATAGCAATATATTCTCGTATGCTAAAAATGCTTTTGATGTTCGTTGGTCGACAAACATATATTTGCGCTCATTTGTGCATGTCCGTTCCTCAGCACGCCGCCATCGTCCATCTTTGCGCACAGTTGGGACTGGCCTAGAATGTCGTTTACATGTTTTGTTCTGCCGTTGACGACGCAAACACAGAATGCAAAACATACATATCAATATCCAGTAAGCCAAAATGCTTTTAAGTCCGATGCAGCCGGATCAGGTATCACAGATTTCGAAGAAGTCGACACGTAGCATGCCGTTGCGGAATGTCGAAAAGTTCGTTGGATGTTATTGGAACGCGTGCAGAAACTCTTTCAGGAATTTTAAAAGACTTTTGTCTTTAAATGAGGAGAACTCCGAAAGATTTTCAACCCAAATACTGTATCACTAAGTGTAAGCACTGCTCGAAATCCGGATTTTCGTGGTAGAATAGATTGGTTTATGAAGAAGATAAGCTGATACCAGAGGTCGAAACTTCTTGGTTCCAGTTGTTTTTGTTATTGTTGTTGTAACCGCAGAATTCTGCGAGTTGACAGTCCTTGGCCAGATCAAAAAAGTCTGGGTACGTTCGGTTTTGAAAGGCTCCACAGTCGTGGGAACGATCCGGTCGTGATGACTAGCATTCCTCTTACGAATCGTACCATTTGTAAGCAGTCTGGATTCGTCAAATATATCATGCTAATCGCAAAACCGTTACTTTTCGCTGACTGGGTGCATGTGGTGGCAACAGCATACACAAATCTTGGCAACACCAGCTGCCAACAGCAAGCAAACCAGCAACTCAACTATTGCTACACTTGTCAGTCGCATGCCATCAATTTGGTATAGAAATATTTTGCTATTGTTTTTGTAGTTGCTTGCCTGCAGCCGTATTGTCCTCCAGCAGAAATGACCCGCTTGGCCGGCCTCAAAGCATGCGTCTTTGCTTGTGCGTGAGTGTGTGTGTGTGTCTTTGGCTCTCAACATATGAAATATGCGCTTGTTGTGTGCCACTTATGCGTCTTCACTTACAACGCTGCGCCGACGAGCATGTTTGGCATTTTGCCGTTACACGTCAATGTCAGCTCGTCGTTGGTCCACACTTCCAGCCGCACTTCCTTCCTGCCCCGGCCTAACTTTTGTAAATATTTGTGATTTTATAAATTTTTCACTCGCAACCGGCGCAAAGTGAATGCTGCAAATATACCGTTGCTTTCGTTTCGCATGCGAATGTCACATGACCGCCACACCGCCAGTCCACCCATTAGACTCAGTGGCAATACACTGCTGCAGCTGCGTCCTTTGTCAAAGTTACCCCACTCTCTGGCACCTGCAACACATGTTCACTCACTCCACAGCATTCGTGCGCAAATTCGTGTTTGGTTGCTAGTTTTCGATTAGCATATTTATGTAATATACATGGTATATACCGAGCTTTTCTAATATTACTTCCATTTGCACTTAAATGCCTTGTTTGTGTCACCTTCAGCTTCTTTTATTCTTCATTTATTTTGAATTTTCTTATCTTCTTACATTTTTTGACATCTATGGAAGATTTATGCGTTCACATTATGTCGAAGTTATTCAAATCTCAAAAGTATTAAAGGGACGGAAAGGAAATGAGTATTAACTGTATCATATTGTGAGAAAACCGAATTAGAAATGATATATGAATGTACTCGAAGCAAGAATTTAAGTAGTAGAGGATTGAAAGGAAAATTTTTTATAATATATAATTTTCATTCGTTGTAATGGAATTAAGCCTCCTTCAGAGAAATAACTACGCACCGTCATAACAGGGCAGCGATTCTAGGTCACTAATAGTGCGTTCCGGGATATTTAATGAATGCCAAACCTCGTTAGTCTATCGAGTCATTTTGTGATAACATTAATATGGGTGCCACGTCAAAACATAAAGCTGATAAGCTCGCAATGAAAGATAATCAAGCACCGCTATCAGTAGAATGGTCAGTACCTTGTTCAAGGTTGAGCTACCATGGGTCCATAGGCTGTCGCAAGATCTTATTAGCCAAAGATCGATCGCATGAGATCTTGTGAGCCCTTGGCAGATAGTAAGGCTGGTATCTTCTTAGTTGTGGGAGTTCTAACAGACCTTTGCCCTATCGGCGTCCATGCTGTAAGAAAAGGACTGTATTCCAGCATCGGAGGGTGTGTGGAAGAATGCGTGGTGACAACATCTCACATCTATTATAATGAAAGGGTTTTTGGAAATTTTTCATTTAACTTGCAATATTATTTTGGCTCCAACACGAGTGATTGAGAACTTATACTCTAATAACTGGCCCCCGGGGTGAAGTTTAATCAAGCACATTCCTAAATCCATTGTCATTGTTAAGGTTGAATCACAATTTTCTGAAGATATTTTATACAAAGAACCAGTAATAGGAGCTACCTGAGATCTGCCAGAATTTCAATGCGGAAAGCTAGTAGCAGCAAGAACTTTTGAACCCTCTAAAAGAAAGTCGCTTCACAAGGCACTACTAAGGTACACAGGGCTCATATAAATCTTTATATCTTTGGTCTGTCTTCAGGATAAAAATATTTAGGCCTTAATTCAAGAATGACGATTGGGATTGAGAGAGACAAGTTTGTGATAGACATGGCCATAAATGAAAGAGGCCCTCAAATCTACTGGCGTAATAACAATTATCTCGCATTATTTGGCTCATCTAATACCTTTTTGATCTAACAGGTCCTTTTTATATGGAAATTGGTTGTTGCCAAGTTTTTTCTCCCTCGTCCGTCAGGTTGTATGCATATACAGTAACTAGTCTCGCAATGTTTGATATATCGAGTTGAAAATTTTCACACCTCCTTTTCTCCACAAGGAGCTGCTCTTGTATCGGAACCGCCAATATCAGACCAATATAGCACATACCTGTCATGCAAATTGAACGATCGGAATCAAACGTTTGTACGCACTTATTAATTAAGATATCTTCTCGAAATTTGGCATGGGCCATTATCTGAAGCAGTTGTACAATCCTTGAAGAAATTCTTCATATCGGACCACTATAGCATAAAGCTGCCTTACAAACTGAACGATTAAACTCAAGCACTTGTAAGGAAACTTTTGTGTTTGTGTAAGCTCGAAGCTGACGTTTTTGCTTTTTTTATTTTGCATTCCATTATGGACCTTTTAAAAATTTTAATCGCTTTACGATCTCATCTTTTAATAATATCCGCGATACTTCACTTTATCCATAAGCGAGATAATTAACTAATTAACAGCCTAAATAGCAGCATAACACTTCGTATTTGCACCGTTGGTAAAGTGGGATAGTTGCCTTTGAGCGAGTGTTGGCAATATTTACCGTTAACGTTGATGGGCAGCAGCAGCAGCATGGCATTAGCATCATCACCGGAATCATTTAGAATGCTAGCGTGGAAAATGAGGCTCACTCCAGCTTATACAGGCAGATTTACCTTACTTTATAAACTTATACATACACATATAAACGCTGTAACTGTTACTGTATATACCTATATATCTGGTAAATCCAACGTGATGCTTATTAGCCTAGATGGAAGCACGCTGCCATGGCCACTTTTGCTCTCATTTGGCATGCTGCAGTGGCTCCAGCCACTTGTCCTTGCCCAAGCAGCACTGCAGGTGCACGCATACACACACACATACAACTATGTATGTGGTGTGTTTGAGCGCCGGCTGGCAGTACGTACGTATTTGCATTGCTTGGACTGCCTGCCTGCCTGAATGCCTGCCTGCCTGCCTGCCTACAGCTGTTACCAAAAGTGGTGCGCTTATGCGGGACAATATTTAACTTTACATAAAAACGGAAGCATCAAGCTGTACGCACAGCCATACTATAAACTCCAGCACACCAATTAACACTGCTGCAGCGCTGTGCGCCGTTGTTGTTGTGGTGCTATGGTGGGTAGCTGCTGCTAATCTATATGCCTAAATCTCTGCAGCTAAATATGGCGAAACACTCAACTAGCCGAACTTTGGCGTTGGACGCTCGTGTCATCGTCAATGTTTACAGTTAGCTATATATGTACTGTATGTGTGTCTATACTTACCCTTATGACCTCGGGACATGCATAATGCGGCGATCCACATGAGGTTTCCAGCATAGAACCAGCCGGTTGCAATGAAGCCATACCGAAGTCGGCAATTTTGATGTTGTTCTTTTCGTCCAGCAGCAAATTTTCGGGTTTCAAATCTCGATGACTGTAATGTATGAAGTAATAAAAGAGGTGATGAAAAATTTATGCGCATTTACCATATGTGTTTGTGTGTGTGGGAAGGATGCAAGTGCAGGCAAGCAAGTGTATGTATGTATGTGTGCATATGCTGTCTCTTATACACATCTAGATGTGTATAAGAGACAGGTATGAAGTAATAAAAGAGGTGATGAAAAATTTATGCGCATTTACCATATGTGTTTGTGTGTGTGGGAAGGATGCAAGTGCAGGCAAGCAAGTGTATGTATGTATGTGTGCATATGTGTTCATTTCTGTATGTAGATGGTGCAAGAAGATTAGACGGAAAAGTTATTTAATGCCTGACGACGCGGCAAATTGGCTAGGCATGAAAGTTTACTTGGCAGCGCCAACTGGTGATAAAGTCGCACCCGCTTGGAGATTTGCTAAGCAGTGAATTTAAATGCGATTGAAGACAATGAAATGCAATGAAGTCAGAAATTAAATTAAATGACTGAATTTGTGTGCTAAAATAAAAAGGAAAAGGACTAAAACGGCATTCTAAAAATTGAAAATTGTACTAAAAATGCCTAGTGCCTCAAATTTAGGTAGAAAGACTAACAATATTTCCAAAAACAACATTTTGATTTATGCACCAAATATTAATAAATAAATGTATATACTAGAAACAAAAACTCTGTAAATAAGTTATCGATTGCCACCATTAATATAAAAATACTTTTATTATACCTAAAACCAAATAAGCATACCAAACTAGCATATATTTCACTTACCATATCGAATGTGAGTGACAAAAATCCAAAGCTGATATTATTTGACGGAAAAATTTACGCGCCTCCTTCGGCGTCAGTCGTCCCTTTTTCACCAAATAATCGAACAGTTCACCACCAGAAACATGCTCTAATATTAGATACAAATACTTTTTGTTTTCATAGACATCGCTCAGGCCCAAGACATGCGGATGATCAATCAATTTCATAATAGCAATTTCACGTTCCACCTGAAATGTGAGAAAGCAGAAGGATAGGCACAAAGAAAAAGTGTTATTAGCTGCAGAAATTGTTGAAACAGGTAGAGAGGAAGTTTTATACGCAATCACTAATAGATAAAGATGCAAAGCAATTATATGTATATACATATGTATGTATATAGAAATATATTTTTAGACAATTACAGAGAGAGCTTCTAGCAGCAAAGTCACAACTTTGCTCTAAAGATTGCTTAAGTATAAAAAAAATATCATACTCTGTCGCAACATGCTGCAATATTATAAAAATTATTACTTTGTTACAGGCCTTGTTAGTAGCATCATTATATTTAAATATAACAATTTACTCTCCCACCGTCAAATTATTGTCATATACATAATATTGCTATTAAAATTTTCTCCTTTATTTAATATTATATTACACTGATTTTCACCAGGGATCCATTAAATTGATTAAACTTCAGTTGGCTTCTCGTTTGCGTAATTTCACAAATCTCTAATGACCTCCAAATGCTGCTAATTATGAATACTTTTTGTTGCTCTTCAGTGAAGTGGCCTACTTTCAGGCTTATTTAATTCAATAGCATTGGCTTTCAATTGTAATTAAAATGATTTTACGTGTTATTGCTGGTGCGGAATAAATAAAGCTAGGCTTTGGGTTCATTAGCCTTTCTACGTTGAGTTCATTCAACCAGATTGTACGAATTCAATTAGCGTCTTAATTTCGTAACGAAAATTAATTGCTGCTTATGGTAAGTGGTATAGACTCAATTTTTACATAAAAACTCAATTCTTATATAACAACTCAACTTTTATAAAACGGCTGAACTTTTAAATAACAATTCAACTTTAACATCAAAACTCAATATTTACATAACAGCTCAACTTTTACATGACAACTCAACTTTTACATGACAACTCAACTTTTACATAACAACTCAACTTTTATATTACAACTTAACTTTCATGCAACAACCCAAATTTTATATAATAGTTGAGGAAACGAGCGAAATTTTCGAGTAGGTCGTAAGAAATATATGCGAGTAGACATGTAATCTTTTTTATAAGTATGCATCCTGAAAAAGGCCTATTTCAAGGGTTATCTTTGAGAAAGTTTTTCTATATGTTTTGCTTTCTTTACGCTTTACTCGTATAAATCCTACATATATCTGAATAGCTGTGAAAGTAGCTTACGTTGTATTTGTTTGTACCTATAGTTAAATGCATGCTTCTAATGAAAAGGGTTCCATTAATTTCCAATTTTCTTTACAGTGAAATGAAGTAATCGAAAAGCTGCTTTCGGTTCGGTTTTCGGTTAGTGTGTGTGCAAAAAATTACTATTTCGTGACCTAAATACTCAATAATCAAAGCTGATAAGGATTTTACGACAAGCAAGGCGACATCAAGTTGAACAACGGCAACGTCGATGAAGGACGGGAACAGCATTTAAGGTAGGACAAATTGAAGTTTTCATGATATTATTTATTGAATTTTCCTACAAAAGTGATTTATGATTTTAATTGCCATTTACTCACTTTCCCGTCAACAAAGGAATTGCTTTTAAATTAAAAGTATCAAGCGTGAAAGGTCATTAACCACAAAGCTATGCGCAAGTAAAAAATTACGCTATTAATGCCCCACCACCCACTACTAGTTTTTTCCGATTTTTTGTTCATTTTTTCATGTTTGTTTTCCCTGCTTTATTATCCTCAATTTCTGTTAGTCAACTATAGGAAAACACGTGTCACTAATGAAAATTTATATCCGCTTCGCACACAGGCAATCCCCCACAAACAATAGTGTGCGCATTAGTAAACAGAAAAGAGCGAAAAGCAAAAGCAAAAACTGCAGACAAAGCCAAAAACTAAAAACCGAAAACAAAAGCAAATATATAGTAAAAAACACAGTGCCAGCAGAAATATATTGTTACCCTTGAGAATATCAACAAAAGCGCTGGGCTTACGGCCACAAATAACAATAAAAAACCATATATATATATATATATATATATGTATATATATCGGGTGATTTTTTAAGAGCTTGATAACTTTTTAAAAAAAAAAAACGCATAAAATTTGCAAAATCTCATCGGTTCTTTATTTGAAACGTTAGATTGGTTCATGACATTTACTTTTTGAAGATAATTTCATTTAAATGTTGACCGCGGCTGCGTCTTAGGTGGTCCATTCGGAAAGTCCAATTTTGGGCAACTTTTTCGAGCATTTCGGCCGGAATAGCCCGAATTTCTTCGGAAATGTTGTCTTCCAAAGCTGGAATAGTTGCTGGCTTATTTCTGTAGACTTTAGACTTGACGTAGCCCCACAAAAAATAGTCTAAAGGCGTTAAATCGCATGATCTTGGTGGCCAACTTACGGGTCCATTTCTTGAGATGAATTGTTCTCCGAAGTTTTCCCTCAAAATGGCCATAGAATCGCGAGCTGTGTGGCATGTAGCGCCATCTTGTTGAAACCACATGTCAACCAAGTTCAGTTCTTCCATTTTTGGCAACAAAAAGTTTGTTAGCATCGAACGATAGCGATCGCCATTCACCGTAACGTTGCGTCCAACGGCATCTTTGAAAAAATACGGTCCAATGATTCCACCAGCGTATAAACCACACCAAACAGTGCATTTTTCGGGATGCATGGGCAGTTCTTGAACGGCTTCTGGTTGCTCTTCACCCCAAATGCGGCAATTTTGCTTATTTACGTAGCCATTCAACCAGAAATGAGCCTCATCGCTGAACAAAATTTGTCGATAAAAACCGAACCCGAACCGAACACTGATTTTGGTAATAAAATTCAATGATTTGCAAGCGTTGCTCGTTAGTAAGTCTATTCATGATGAAATGTCAAAGCATACTGAGCATCTTTCTCTTTGACACCATGTCTGATATCCCACGTGATCTGTCAAATACTAATGCATGAAAATCCTAACCTCAAAAAAATCACCCGATAGTATATAAAGGACACAAAAGCCTAGCATACAAGCGATGATCGAAAACTAGCCGAACTAAAAATATTTGTCGAAAGGATTTCACTGCTGAACCGCAGTCAAGCGTCTATATGTGTATGGCTACATGCTTGCGTGTGTTGCTGTGTGCGAGGGCCAAATATTTAGTTCGCGTGCGGCTGTCGATATTTCGGCCAACAGGCAGGCTAACCATTAAACAGTTAGCAAGCAAACTGGGGGAAGGACATTGCATTTTATTTTATATTTTTTTTTTTTATTGTTTAGTTTTTTTTTTTTTCATTTTATATAATGCGAAAACATCAAACAATGGAATTGGACATATGTAGTAACCAATTGAATGGCTGGTGCTGATGGTTTTGTTATTGTTATTGGTGGTGGCTTGAACCACGCTAGCGCTTAGCGGGCCTGTGTGTGTGTTTTATAAGCATAAAGGGTGATGTGGAAATATAAGAACCTTTACATGACTCTATGAGGGCAAAGACGTATCAAAAGGTTTTTCTAGTTTTTCTATAATGGCAGTTTTGAGCTGGTTGGAAAGTTGTTGTAAAGAAAAACTTATGCAAACATGTAATATTGCCGTAGTGATATATATTCTTTCGAAAACTTTACAGCTTCAAACGAATCTTTCCTCAATACTGCACATTTCTTAATAGCACACCGGAGACCATATTGTTATACTGTTGCTATTTAGAGCTAGCTGAAAAGGTCTAACACTTAAACCTTCATGTAATTTTGTAAGATTTTCATTGATCTATGAAATATGTACTATTAAGTATAGATCTTAAAGAATTTCGTGCCTTTTTTCTGTTAGAACCTCAACCGCCTTTTATATACCTTTCCATTATAGACGGTAATGATAAACTGAAAATTTATTTCCATTTGTGTTACAAACTTATTACAAATATTGCAACATAATCTGACTCACATCTCTCTCTTATCACTATTTTCATCTGAAGCTAAATATTTCGTTCAACTTGACTTCTTTGTAAAATATGGATAAAAGATCAACTTTTGAGTAGCAACTCAAATATTACAAATTTTTAAATAACAACTCACGTTTTATGTGACAACTTAACTTTTGCATAACAACTCAACTTTTGCATAACAACTCAACTGTTACATAACAACTCAACTTTAAATTGAAATACAATTTTTGAAACATAGTAGTCGTCGATATTTATGAAAGCTCAATAGACGATAATCAACTATAATGCAGTTTGGCTTAAATTGTCCAAAATGTTTTCATAAATGGCACTTAGTATTTATGTCTAGAAACATTTTTTACTATAAAAAAGGTAACTCAAATTTGAAGCATAACAACAAAATCAGCGACTTTCTGAAACTTATCTGTTAGCTTTTCGATTTCTAAAAATCATTTGTTGGCCTATACATAGATGGCACTAAGGTCGGTATTTACGTGATTTTACCGATTTTACTTAAATATAACGTTTTTAGAGATTTTCTATAACTAGAGAAAATATGTAAATTTTTTCAAAACTCACTGTAGGTATATTCATAAGACAATATTCCCTTAAATTTTTAAAACATATGATATCATAGACTGTGAGACGCGGTTTAGCTAATTTTTATCAGATTTACTGTATTAGAAATTAAAAATATTTGCAATTGATACAGATTTTCAGATTTTTATAAATCGATTTCTATTAGTCTTCAGTATAAATCACAAAATATGTTAAAAATATGGTGCAAGAGTCAGCGGATCACTTTGGGAACAATATTTTTTTTTTATGTGCAATGAAAAGCCATTAAGCTACTTGCTCCCAGCATGCTTACAACTTTTTCTAATGTATCGCACTGCATATTAAAGCTACTATTTAGCCAACATGGCGTATACGTGACATGAATTTGGCGAACAGCGCTGACTACAACACTACAGTGCACGCTAAAAAAAACACAAGAAGATTTGCTTGCAACTACTTTTGCGTGTCTGCGCTAATGACTTATATCGTTTACACTATCATTCGTGTCGCAGCCGCTCCCCCGCACGGCGCACATTCAATTTTGAATGAATTCTTACATGTCTGTCTGTCTGCCTGTCTGCAGCTGTGCTATACATTTGCTGTCATTATCTATTTTTTATTACTTCTCCACTTTTTTTTTACTTTTGCTACTACCTTTATACAATTTTCGAGCTATGAACTCACCTTCATTAACACCGATTCGCTGAGCTTCTCGCGATTGATTATTTTAATGGCCACCTTACGACCGAGCACACAGTGTACGCCCAACTTAACCAAGCCTAGAAAGAAAGCGAGTATTAAAATATAGATAAATTTACATAGAGATGTACATATATATCTAAAACTTAAGTGCGAGTGTATGGCAAGTGAAGTGCGCGCCACAGGAGAGTGCCCAGTTTGGCGAAAAATCGAAATATATTCGTGGCTTGTTTATCGAAATGACACACAAATGAACACACACCAATGCATTGTGGGCAAACCAAATTTATGCGGCAACACAAACAATTGTTGCCACAATTTTTCAAATACCCAAGCCATCGCCAATTCCACACATTCGCCGCTGTGTGCAAAGCTTCTTCCGCAAGCAATTTGAATTCATGCGCCAGCGGAGAGGCTTCTGTKAAATTGGCATGGAGCAGGGTACTTTTACAGTTCAATGCATGTCTGCTTGCTCATGTATATATGTGTGTATATTCTAAGATATAAGCACATAGAAAAATTTAAGACTAGCTACATATTCTCACTTTTCTCCACACTCTTTAGCACCAACTCTGCTAACACTCATTTTTCCTTTAAATTTTTGTTGTTATACCCTGGACAAGGGTATATGAAGTATGTCATGATATTGGGAATACCCAAAAGGCAACGTCAGAAACCCTATAAAATATATATAAAAATTTTATCAGTCTGACGTGCTTAGCCATGCCCGCCTGTCTATCCGTCTGCATATACTCGAACAAGTCCCTCAGTTTTTGAGATTTCGATCTGAAATTTTACAAACATAAAACGATCGATATCGCAGCACTCTAGCATATAGCTGTCATATAAACTGAACGATCGGAAGCAAGTGCTTATATGGAAAAGTTTAACATTTGACGAGATATCGTAACGAAATTTTGCATAAATTATTTCCCAAAGGACCGCAACAATTTTTGAAGAAATTATTTAGATCGGATGACTTTAGCATATAGCTGTGATACTAACAACCCGATCAAACTTAAGTGCTTGTATGAAAAACGTTCATATTTTTCTAGTAGTCTTCATGAAATTTTGCTTAGGTTATTGTTCAAGGAAGCGCTACAATCTCCCAAGAAATTTTTCAGATCGGGCCACCCCAGGATATATCTGCCATATAAATTGATCAGAATGAAGTGTATGTATAGAAAACTTTTTCATTTGACGAGATATCTACAAGAAATTTAATTTGCGTTGTTGTCTACGATAGTGGTACAATCTCCGAAGAAATTGTTAGGATCGGAGTACCATAGCATATAGCTGCCATACAATCTGATCAGTCAAAAGAAATTCTTTAAGAAAAATATTGTTTTAGTGTAGAGTATAAAGGTATTAAGGGTATGCTTTTTCGAGGTTTTTCTTTTATTTGTTTACTGTTTTTGTGTGTTTGATTGAAACTCACCCGTCTGTCCCTTGCCCAGAGTCTTCTCCAGACGATATGGCCCCACAAATTGGCAATTTTCCGCTGTCGTATTATTTTCCTTCTGCATCTTGTTAGCGTTACTTGCTGTTCGTGTTGTTGCCGATGTTGTTCTACACAGTAATCCAGTTTTCGCTGTTGCTTTTGCTGTTGCTTCACTGCTGCTTCTACTACACTACTACATACACAATGCAACGCTGCAAATTCCATACACACACTAATGCACACACCAATACAGACACCAACAACTGCTACAGCAACTTCTTCAAACACTATATGGGCACTTTCTAAGCACGTTAGCCGCCCTCCAGTCGCTACTTTCTAGCGCTTTAAGCAAACTCCCCGCTTTTCAAATGTTTGCTTAAGATTTTTTGTTTTTTGCTTTTTCGGTTTCGAGTTGTATTTGTTTCGCTTTTAAGCAAACACTTTCGCGTGTATGTGCTTGTATACCTGTATGTATGTATATGGGGGTCGTATGTGTGGGCGGTACGCCTGGGTCGGCGCAGCTGCTGCATAAACACCAACGCTGTAGTTATGTGGGTTAAAGTTCGTTTTTAATTACTTTTTCACTGCAGCGCTCGTGGATTGTTGCTGCTGTTGTTGGTGTTGCATATCGTTGGCGCTTTATTGGCCTTTTCTCTTGCGCTTCCGTACTTACAGTTATACTGCAATTGCATTTGTTTTCATCACTTCTTTGAATTCTCACTTTAGTTGCTGCAGCGTCGAGCGCTCACAATCGCTGCATTAATTGGTTTTGCGGAAAAAAATTGCTTGCGAATAAAACTGATTTCGGCTCTTTTCATCTTCCTTTTTTCGTTGCTTTATCTGCAAAATAGAATTTAAAAATAGTTATTGATTAGTGAAATGCGGCAGTGTGTGATATATCGGCTCGTTTATTTGATTTGTTGCTGTGTTGAAATGTTTTATGTATTTATTTTCAAATATGTGTATATTTATATATTTTTTGAGAGTTTTGATTTGAGTTTTGTATGTAAGTGACTGGCATATTTTATCTACTAATCTTTTTTTTTTACTAAATTTTGTGTCAAAAGGTTCTATTTTTTCGTTTCGTTTGTAACCTAACCTAACCTATACAAACTTAACCAGCAACGGTTCAGAGCTATGATCACATTTGGAAAGTAAAGAGTAGTTCCAAAACAGCTGCTATCAAATAAGTCCTTTGATTCGACTTAAACCGACCGATTTGGCTCCGAAAATGAAACATTCTTGACTTATATACTTGAATGAATATATTCTATTAGCTATCCGTAAGAATTTACTTAACTTTTTTGTAGTGAAAAAATAAAAATCTAGTCGCACCCCCCCTTCAGCAGTTTAGTTCAGTTCAGTTCCAAACTCCTGCCAGATTTTTGGCATTCCAATTTTTGCAGTGGACTTCAATGTACCATACATGCTGATGGGCACTGCTCGCTGGACGCCCTCGGGCCTTTTTACAATGTGTCTCATAATGGTTTAAGTAAGGTCGGCTGCTACTGCGCCTCTTCTTTTCAACCTTTTTAAATAAGTTGTTCGGAAAACTGCTGAATTTATTATTTATATAATGTTTTATGCCATCTTAATTTCCTTAATAGGCAGAATATTTCTTTTAAGATCCAATTTTTATCCTGAATATGTACTGCTAGTATAGTTGCTACATTTCCTTCTTGAAAAATAGTTATTTTGAAAACATCATCAGGCTTCATTTGCCTGCATTCGTTCGCTTAATTAGTTCCACCGCATAACAAACAAAGCACAAAAAGTAGCAAACAGAAAATAAAACAAAAGAAAATAACTATAAATGAACATGCAACGTCTCAAAGCCGTATAATAAATGGCCTTTTTTATTAAATTTAATTAACCGAATTTAATGCCAGACGCCAAAATGAACAAGACCACGCGGGGATCTGCCGAAAACGCGGTGACTCGCTGCGAAAGCTTAAGTGTCTGCTTAAACGATTGGAAGATAAATCAAATACGGTTGCAGCAAAATGAGCTGCCAAGCCAACAAGCAGACAAAAAGTACAGCAGGGATTTCGCAAGCAAGGCAAGTGAGCGTCAAGACGGTATTTCATTCCTATATACATATATACGCTCAACACATGTACGTATCATATAAGTGTATGTGTGTGAGTTGTGGAATGCGCGGCGAAGCATAATGATGGCGACGAAATCTGTATAGAAAAGTACCGCAAAAAGATGAGCAGCAAATTTAAGATGACGTAGACGACTTTAAGAAGTTGTGCACAAGTGCGGTACAAGTGGCGATAACGGTGAATAAAGCAGCACAAGTGCCAGAAGTGCCCGAGTAGCAACCGAAATTGTGTATGAAAATTCATGTTATGGCAGAAATTTCGCTGTGAGTAGTAAATAAAAAATGTCTGTATATGTGTGTAAGAAAGTATATGCGCTGGCGAGTATGCTGGCATGCGTGTGTGCTGGTGTTGCTATTTGTTGGCGCAGCTACTTGAAAGAAAGTCAATTTGCGTATATGGGGCAACTAGGTCGCATGTCATAAACACACGCACGCACACACACACACACATGCCTAGAAACAATTTAAATATATTTATTGCGAGCATGTATAAATTCCTTCCACCTCACCGAGCATGCGAGCAGACGCCGACGGCGCACTCCAGCGGAAGGAAGTTGCCAATGGCGGAAGGAAGGCGAGACGCAGCGGTGGCACCGAAAGGCGAGGTGACGGAAATTCGACCGGAAAGACGGAAATAAGAAAGTAGTGGTGCGCTGGCAGAAATTAAAAAAATACATGCTTGTTTATGTGTGCGTGTATGTGGCGAAATGAGAGCGAAAATATGCAGAAATGAACTGCCAATGGAAGAATGGAAAATAAAAAATGTAAATTAGTGTGGAAGGAGTTGAATGCAGCAATTAAGTTTTGGCGGCGAAAAAATTATAGCAAGACAAGTGTGTGGTTGGGTGGGAATTAAAAGCATGTTGGCGTAATTGAAAAATAAGTGTCGGTTGTGTGTGGACAAGAAGGAAAGGATTATGAATGGCAGAATAATTTGTATTTTAAATTGATACGATTTTCAATGAGAGTATATAAATTAAAAGAAATATGAGAGTAAAACAAGAAGAAAGGTTTACAAACACAAAATATTCCCTACAAGAACTTGATTCCGAACGTTCAGTTTGTATGGCAGCTATTTGCTATAGTAAACCGATCTGAACAATTTGCTCGGAGAATGCAGTGTATCTCTATAAAATAACCCATACTCATTTTTGTGAAGATATCTCGTCAAATGAAAAAGTTTTCCACACAAGCACCCTATTCCGAACGTTCAGTTTGTATGGCAGCTATATGCTATATTCATCCGTTATCCACGATTTCGTCAAATAGACAGCTCCTTGGGCAAAACAGAATGTCTGCAAAATTTCCGATCGATATCTCCAAAACTGTGGATATAAATAGTTCGCTGGTACTAGCGAAAATGATAGGCAACCGTTCTTCTGCGCGTAGGATAATATTCAGCTTCTTCGCAGCAGATTTGCTAATGATATCCAGAAGTCTACTATTTTGGCAGTTTCCCCATATAAACTCGACCTCTTATATTATATATTATAAGCGAGCTCAACAAGAATATCAGTTAAAATGAGAAAAATACTGAAAAAGTAGGTTGCCTTCAACCAATCATCCATATTTTCGTCAACTTTGGTTAGAGTAGGTTTTAAAGTACCTCTCAGATTTGAAATATTTCAACGTTATCTTGATAAGCACATATTAACAGTAACGAAACAAACAAATTATTCTGTCGGTCACTTCACTTCAGCAACGAGAAAACAGGCAAATCAACGGAATTGCATATTATAACAACAAAACAACAAAAGCAATAAGCCGCAATCATCAGTGAAATAAGCGCATAACACGAGACCGAAATCGGCAAGTGGCAACCCGCCTGAGAAATGAAAAATGTGTTGTGCGCCTAAAACGATGCTTTGAAAAATGTGAATCGGCATATGTTTACAGAAACACTTACACGACTACAACAGGCAGCTCGTGCTCTGCGGTTAGCTTTGAAAATGAGCGGCACATTTATAATGAAAAGCACCTACCTGCCACACCCCATACAACACCGTCGCAACGATGTCGAGTGCGCGCCACACATTACACATGACATTCAGCAATTTACGACCTAGTAGCAACAACAACAACAACAGCGGTAACCGTTGTGGTAATGGCAGCATGCCACAAACATCGAAAAGGCAAAATTTCCAGTTCCCATTTTGTTAGCTGTAAATAAACAGCAACAAAGCAGGCAAGGCTTTGCGTGAGAAAGGAATAAGGACATGCCAGCGCACGACAGGCACACATACAACTATAGGCGGAGTGTGTGCGTGTCAAGACAAAGGCGTTTGTGTGTGCGTTGCATAAATGATGTCGGCTGTGTTTTTGTGAAATTCTCGAAAATTTTCTCAATGCCTACAAAAGCCAAAGTAAACAAGAAAAATGAGCACAGGCAAGTAAGCAGGCAGCCATGGAGGCAGCGACGCGCTGACCAGGGCAGACGCACGAAATGTTTAATGAAAGAAATTGAGGCAAGTAGACTAAAAGGCTGACAAAAACAACAACAGCAGTAGCAACAAAATAGCAGCAGCGACGCCGGCACAGTGAGGAAGCAAGCCATTACGATTTGTGCGATTCAAGGCAAGTTGCTTACGCTCTCGTTTTGTGTAATTTTTCTTTTATCGCTGACAATCGCCATGCGCCTGCCCCTCTCGCCCCCAACACAGCAACTCTCATGCTTGCACATGCCGCTGCATGTTTGCTGACCTCTTTAAACACATTAATAAGCCATTTTGTTCTAATAAATATGCAGTGGTTTATGGGCGGCCGAGCAAGCAACACATTTGCTATATTTTTCTTGCTTTTTATCAGCTCGAGAGCGCTTTGCCTGAATGTGAGTTGCGCGCATTTGCATGTGTTATGTTTATTTGTAGGTCTATGTGTGCCTTCATATGCTATATGCCAGCCAGCATATGTGTGTACTTATGTAATTAAAATTGTTTTAAACGCAATTAAATTGTGCGTGAATGCTTTTGAGTGCGGCGCGCGTGCGTTATGCTCTACGCTCTCTACTCCGCACTCTTAACAGATGCAATTACAAGCACAGTTTAGCTTGTGCAACACGACACTAAATGCTGTGCTTTTTGATAAACTACTTTGGATAATTGTTATGGACTCTTTATTGACAATTATTTGTTGTGGAAATTGATTTAATTGAGCTGCAATGATGCGTGAAGTGTGCTTACTTTGATGGAAGCGTGTATTTATTTTTATTGCAAATATTTCGATGTGTTGACTTTTATGATGTTAAGTGGAGCGATGTAATTTTCACAAGCCCTGCTTTATTTTTAAAATGTCAATAATACTGATTTTGATTGCTCGGTTTGTATGGTAGCTATATGCTATTGTGATCCATTTCTTCAGGAACTGTACCATTAGAAGCCTTAGAAAATAACTCATACCCATTTTTGTGAAGATATCTCCGCAAATGGAAACATTTTTCATACAAGCACTTGATTCCGCTCATTAAGTTTTGAATGGTAGCTATTTCTATAGTGATCCGATCTATCATTCAGGTTATATAATATGTCAGCTATATGACATAGTCATCCGATTTAAATAATTTCTACAGATTTGACACCATAGCTCTAAATAATAACTCATGCGAAATTGCGTGAAGACATCTTATCAAATGAAAAGTTGTGCATACAAGCACTTGATTCCGATCGTCCAGTTTGTATGACAGCTCTAAGTTGTAGTGGTCCGTTATTAGCAGTTCCGACAAATGAGCAGCTTTTTG